TATAATATGATGTTTATTAATAATGTATTAAAATATGACGTTAATAGCAAGTGGATTATAATTTGATGTTTATTTATAGTGTATTTTAATATGATGTTGATTAATAGTGTATTATAATATGATGTTAACAGCAAGTGTATTATAACATGACGTTTATTGTAAGTGTATTATAATATGATGTTAATTGTAAGCGTAATTTTAATTTGACATTAATTGTTAGTGTATTTTATTATGATGTTTATTAATAGTGTATTATAATATGATGTTAATTAATAGTGTATTATAATATGACGTTAATAGCAAGTGTATTATAACATGACGTTAATTGTAATTGTATTATAATATGATGTTAATTAATAGTGCATTATAATATGATGTTAATTAATAGTGTATTATAATATGATGTTAACAGCAAGTGTATTATAACATGACGTTAATTGTAATTGTATTATAATATGATGTTAATTATTAGTGTATTATAATATGACGTTAATAGCAAGTGTATTATAACATGACGTTAATTGTAAGTGTATTATAATATGATGTTAATAGCAAGTGTATTATAATATGATGTTAATAGCAAGTGTATTATAATTTGATGTTTATTAATAGCGATTATAATATGATGTTTATTAATAGTGTATTATAATATGATGTTTATTAATAATGTATTATAATATGACGTTAATAGCAAGTGCATTATTATATAATGTTAATTAATAGTGTATTATAATATAAAGGTAATTGTCAGATTCACATATTAGGGCCACAACATACAACTTTACATTTCCTCTCGCTAGGCTGATATTAACACAGCATGAATGCATTGCCGCGTTATTTTCCCTTCTTGTCACTGAAAGACTGCCAAAACACTGGTAGTGGTCACCTTGTCATCTCTCTTGCTGTTCATCTTCTGGGTTTGAGGGCAAGTCGTGCTGTACCAGAATACCTCATGGGTGTTAATAGCGAGCTGAAGGTAAGAAGTGACTACTTAAAATCTCCACAGTGCATCCCAGCTACTATAATCAGTTTGCTTTATATAATTTTATAAAATTTCGCACCAATTATCATTACTCAATAAAGTTGTAAACATTTGAATTTGTTTTTCTTACAGACCATTTTAATTCTGTAGTGGGTTAGTAGTTAAGTTTAAGCTTTAATCTCTAGTTTATTATTTTCTTTAGTAGAAGTATACAATGTTCTGACACCGCGAAGAGTTCTTCCGGTTTTGTTTATGTTTTCGTGTTTGGACCCCGTGTCTTCCCAACGCCTTCATCGATATTTGGTATGTAAACACGTGCCTATTCCTCAACTTTTACGTACATGTGTTGACATAACGGCTGGTCTGACTGGTCGATCACTCAGAGTACTCGCTTGTAAGCATGTCATACATGTCCCAAAGGAATCTACAGTGTACATAAAAATCAAAATTAGAATTAGAATTTGAACTTTTGAACCTTAAAGAATTGAAGCACTTAAGATATCAGTGGTCGAAACGTCTGGTATGTTTAATGAAAGTGTGTGCTGCTTAAAGAGATGTCTTCATTTTGTCGTTTCCTTTTGCTAGGGTCATCCCTCGGTATACTGTGAATAGCGATTATGTATTGGAGAGGGTTAAAATAGTTATACACTTACCGAACTAGTAGAGAACATGTAAAGACGAGGAGAACAATAGCTACACATAAGCAAAATATATTTTTAAAAAATAGTTGTTTTTTTTTATAAAAAGAACGCACCTTTTAATCCGTTATATTGAATGAAGAACCTGTTTATTATTAGTTTGCTAAACTACATTACCTTGTAAAATAGGAATCTTGTTTCGTTCTCAAATGAAACGTGGTTGAAATCTTAAAGTAATAAATAGTTTTGACTCCAAGTTTTATACGAGATCTCGCAGGGTTTAAACAACCTGGAACTAAGATCAATAGATAGGATTAATTAATTACGTCCAGTTTCCGATGTCCACCAGGTTAGAGCTTTAAACAAATATAAGACACTACCTAATGTTACAACCGTGACTGATCCAGTAGCTTCACACACACGTTAAACCTCTACCGAAAGTTAGTTAGATACCTGTATATGTATGTCTCCGTACAATGTCACCCTGCACAAATGGTAAACCTATTATCAAGTAAATATTTCATATCAAAAAATATATAATATGTTACGCAAGTACGTGCTGTAGGTAGTTATCAGGTCTCACAGAAGTAAAACTGTTATGAGGTACTTCAAGAAATAAATAGAAAGACTTAGGATACCCTTGGGTACTATTACGGTCTACATATACATTTAAGCTGGTCCTTATTTAAACAACGTGTTTTGAGCACTTTACAATAGAGAGAATGTTAATACCCACATAGTCGTGTACAATCAAGTGTAACGTGGTGTTAAAATGATAAACATTCGGGCATATCACTCCGAGGCTAGACAAAACACACTTCCTACTGTGGTATCCCTTATCTTGTAGTTCGGCACAACGCTTAGCTCCTAAATATGGGATCTTTATCTTTGAACTGGACGGAGACAAAGACGTGTTTCTATGTTCGTAAAACACAGAGCTTGGAAGTCGATAGCAGTCTGCTTCAGGTAAATATCACAGTGCATCGATTATTTATTGTACCGTCGACCTATATTATGTAATTCGAATATGGTAATCCACTAGCAGTTTGATCGGTAGAGTCATCATTATTGCTTTCCTTGGTCTCCGTAACTGTACTTTCGGTTTGTCTATCCTAATCATTGTACTACTTCCCCATAATGTTTGTGTCTTGTATTAACAGCCGAGTATAAATTAGTCGTTTTCAGTCAACGGACCAAATCACTTTTGCTAAGCTAGAAGAAAGATATGAAAGATGAAATAGCGAAAAAATATAGTTCAAGAAAATGGATATCTGCCACAATAGCCTCTGCTGGGCTTGCGCTTTATTCAAGAAAACTGTCTTACTTCCGGTTTCCCCCGGATAATTTAATCAGGTACTTGCGGGGCATTAAATTAACAGCAGAGGTCTGGGTTACACGAAAGCAGGTTGGAGATTTCCTGAGATTGATGAGAGTGTGACGTTGATGATGTGGTGTGATCGAAGTAACCGACCTATACATATAGCCCCATGACCGAAGTAACCTGACCTTTACATATAGCCCCACGACCAAAGTACCCCGACCTTTACATATAGCCCCACGACCGAAGTAACCTGACCTATACATATAGTCCCACGACCGAAGTACCCCGACCTATACATATAGCCCCACGACCGAAGTACCCCAACCTTTACATATAGCCCCTAGACCGAAGTACCCCGACCTTTACATGTAGCCCCACGACCGAAGTACCCCAACCTTTACATATAGCCCCTAGACCGAAGTACCCCAACCTTTACATATAGCCCCTAGACCGAAGGACAACGAGGATGAACCTCCTCTGTGTAACGGATACAAGCTTAAACACAAAGAAGACCCACAGGGAGTGGATACTAGGTAAAGACCCCGACACCTTCAGTAATTGACAAGGATCCTTCCATTGCATGAATTACAAATCAAAAGTCATATTTTCCAGTAATGAAACGGTTCCCTTGTATGAAGCAAACGCTTCAAGTATCATCTGTGGAGATGAGACGGTTCGTTAGGGTGAAACGGAAAACAAAAGTCTAGCTTGTTGGATGTGTCTCACAGTTTGAGAGTGTCCCTGATGCCAACTGTCCTGCTCTTCAGAGGCGAGACGCCTCCATCGTAATGTAGCTCAAGCAAAATGATATGCCTGCTATTTGGAGAAGTGAAAAACGATTCTCCTGGATGAAGGGCAGGCGAAAAGTCCAATTTCAGCTGAGATACGAGGGGTAATGCGTGCAGTTGATGAGGCAATTCACCAAGACCACCGAGGAGTATCGAGAAGGTGGAACATGTAAGGACGAGTAAGATTGTTTAAACGCTAATGGTTGTCGTGGCTGTATTCAGTAGGACTGTCCGTCTTTTTTCCACAACTAAGTTTCCTGTTCTATCGGAGATTTTTTCTTTGATGCTCATTTTGTATAAATTTGGTAGATACAGACATCAAATGAGTTTCGATTTACACAACACATATCTTTTGCATTTGACTGAGTTGGGGAGTGTCACAAAATTAACGGCGGTATATTCTGTATACAACGTAGAAGCCAGTTTAATCCATTAGATTCATAGCAGGAAGGGTCCTTATCAATACCAACTAAGAATGTCGAAGCGAATTTCCTGAATTATGGGTTAGTCTGTGATGTAAACCCATGCCTAGTACAGTTGAGTCCAAATTCAACTAATATTTCATCAAATAAAAAAAATGGAGTTTAAAAAAACAAAAAAACAAAACATCAAATCAACTTTACCACGGATACATGTAATATATATTATATGACCTGCAAGCTCCCCACAATCTGATTGGCTTTGACCTTCCTTGCCGACCTTGATATAATCTTACATCGACCTCGGTAACATGAGGTAGATATAACAGTGCATCAGCAGGATCACGTACCTAAAAATAGCTGATAATTTCTTGTGATAACAATGGATTCCGTTTTGTAAAAACATTGTAAACCTATTTAGCGGAATGTATTTCTAACTTGTGTGTAACGTGTCATCTAGTAAAGCAATTATTAACCTCCCTTGATGTCCGAACAATTATTTATCAACCTCAGCAAGGTTTTTCACTAAGAGGTGGTTCATATTGAAAGAGGCCGAGGTTTCCTCAGGTTCATAAATACTCGTATCGACCTCAGCAGAGAGAAATAGTGTATACTATCACCTCGACCTACATTTTCTTTCAAACGGTCTTACAGACACCCTGAACACCTATTCAAAGTATAAAACGGGGCTTTATCATACCCTCAGTGCTTATAACTGTCATACTGTGTACATCCAGGGAAATCAAGTATCAGTTTATCAATCCACATATTTTGATATTGATATGATAACACTGTTTACACATGGTCCTCGTCATGTGCCGACTGTGTTGCCGGGGTGAACTACTATGGTCTATACTATATCGTGAGAAATAATGGTGATGTCATAACAATGACTACAGACGTCGTGCACAAAATGTGATGCATTCATAAGGCCCTTTGATCCGTTGATTATTGACGCTCCAGTCATACCCTCTGATAACTGTGTATGTTACCGTACGTCTGAACAAACACGACAAATCACCAGCAGTGTTAATATATAGTTCGTCCTTCATCGACCGGGAGTCAGCCGAATAAACCAATGAATTGGTACCACCCTAGTATGGCGTACCTGTTTAATTGGTTTTGACCAATCATACGTCCGTGTGATACTGGACATTGTGTCGGTCTGGCTTCCTGGACGATAAAACAGATGTACCAGTCACGGGTGTATGCAAGAATATAGAGTTTTTTAATCTGTGTTTTGTCACTGATAATTTTATCAGCATCATCATCATTGGAAAATAGCAGAACAATGGCCATTATCTTGCTGACCGCATATATGATATAACTGCGCAGCACGTGGATTAAGGTATAAAAAGGTAAGATCATTATCACTTGTTACCGTATATACTGTTGTCACTCCAGTGTTGATGTTGGAGCCGTTCGTCTGACCATATTTGCTAAACAGTACAGAGATTTGTTATTGAATAATAAACCACAGGAACAACTAACTCTCAAGGTCGTTAATACTGGGATATCTTACCTGACTGACAATGGCGGGAATATTGGTAAGTTCGTTTAATGATACGTTTCCGACACCTTAACGCTATACATTCGTAAAAGACAATTATTTATTGCTTTATTGTACTCGGCCATTATATCATAATGCTTGTTATTACCTCACAATGAACATGATACGGGATATTTGTGATGACAACTGAAAAGTTCCATAGTCTGTTTACTTTATGCACAACCGAGCGAATGGTAGGCTCAATCCTTTAATATATACTATAAATCTGGATATTAAGGCGTGATTGTAATTTCTTTTCTACTTTGGGTTGAATTTGGTGTGCTGATTTTTTTTTTTTTTTTTTTCCGATTCCGATGCGTAATGTTTTGGTGCCTTTGAATAAATGTTATCTACTGGCTTCTTTAGCAATTCAGAATTTTAAAAATGAATATGTTTTAATACTTATTTGGCTAAAGAGAAAATACCTGTATCAGAGTTTCACCTGTATCAGAGTTTCACCTGTATCAGAGTTTCACCTGTATCAGAGTTTCACCTGTATCAGAGTTTCACCTGTATCAGAGTTTCACCTGTATCAGAGTTTCACCTGTATCAGAGTTTCACCTGTATCAGAGTTTCACCTGTATCAGAGTTTCACCTGTATCAGAGTTTCACCTGTATCAGAGTTTCACCTGTATCAGAGTTTCACCTGTATCAGAGTTTCACCTGTATCAGAGTTTCACCTGTATAAATCGATGCGGATGACCTTCCTACTTCAAGGTAACGAGTTCATGGCGTTCCTTCCTGCCAGATAAACAAACAACGAAATGCCAACAGTTTATAAAGAACATGTTGATTTACACTGTCGATTTTTTCTTTTTCTTTATTTAAATAAAGGTTCAAGCGTCTGTTTTCCAAAATATTGTTTATTATTAAAAACGATTCGCCTTCATAAACAAGGATGACAGTTTGTATTTTGAATTTATCAGGTTTTTATCCTCAGTTGAATTTATTAAAACACATTTTATTTTTGTCTAACCATTTATTATCATGATGTTTAAGATTGTATAAGAAATCTAACATAGAAGGAGTGTCACTGTTTATACAACAGTGTTTGTAATAAGTTATCTCCCTTGCCCATTCATAGACATTTCCTGGTTTTGGATTCTTTGTCTTCAAAATGGATGTGTACTGTTTCATACAAGTCGAAAGAGAGTTGATACTCAAGTGTTCGGAATTTATTTTTGGACGAATAGAGTTCACTTGGGATTCAAAAATCTTCCAGTCTAATCACACACAACCGTCTTCATGATCATCATGATCACGGATAACCGTGCGTAGTTTAACCTTATATGTTTATATCAACATGAACATTGGCCATTCAGTATATAAAAGGCTTAACCTTTTGGACAACAGTCCTCATTTCTTCTTTCTCCACATGATTGTGAGATTGATGCACTTTTCCAACGAATTTGAAACAAGGGTGTTGATCATGCAACTACTCTGCAACTGCTTTCTTGAGGTCATCATTGGACCGGAAATGACGTTTACGCTGTTCGTTTTAAAATATTATTAGAATATAAAGTAGTTACCAGGCAAGGAACTACGTCTGGTGAGTAGGGCGGATGAGGCAAAACTAAAACCTGTCACGCTTAGCTGCTTTAACTGACGGATGACGTGTTTGGACTCTGACATTGCCATGTTGGAGCAAAGCGTCTTTCATGACCTTACCATGCCATTTTGCAACGATAACATATGTAACACCCTTTCATTCTTTCACCATTGGATAAGGTATGATCTGTGATTAAATACTGTATGTGCTCACTAGCAAAACAATATCACGTGAGAGACGGTCAATGTCTGTTTTAAAAATGATTTTAGTTTCCTGTACTGGGTATTTCGCCCCGATAAAACACTTGCTGTTTATAATGCTGATAAACGATACATCCCACGGCTGTTTATATATCAGACAAGGGGGTCACAAGTCTATCGATGAGTTTTTATCAGTTTTGTAATACTGTATGACTGTAAGTTATACGGTAAATTTTGCTTGCAGATTATTTAATCAGTGATTATTAGCAGTTACGAGAAATGAAAGGCATGCAACTTTAACGAATCAATAGAAAAAAAGAGAAACACGTGAAAGATCAAAGCCATTATCATTACTTTCGTATAAGTTTATTGACTGAAAATCATCAGTAAAAAGAACAGCGTTCAGTTGACATAACGCCCCACAACAACGAAGACGGGCCTATCTAAAACAGTCGTCACGGTGACGTTATGGCCTTATTGGACTGTGCAAGGGCGCCGTGTTTTAATTTGGGTTTCTTGCCAGCGGTTTTGGATAGTTTGGGTAGATACTTGAAGACGACGACATAATGTTCCTTATGCTCTCACTCACAGGAACGTTGTAAGTATATATTACCCTACGACTTAAACCGTTTATTTTAATATATTTACATATGCCCTTCCCATTTTCCATTAACTCTATGGAATGTCAGCCTGTAGTTACTGGACAGTAACGGACGTCATTCTATTTATCTGTCACCCAGATTGCATTCATATTGGCTGTAACTGCAATCTGACAGACGTTCAATCTTTAGGAATCGTGGATGCACAGAAGTTCCTATCCCGGACAACAATTGATCAATTAATTAAACGTTCGCTTATTAATGTTCCAACCCAACATTGTGGTCTGTAAAAATGGCGTGCACTCATTTCATAAACAGACAAAGTAATAATGAAAGGGATAGAATAGGTATTGGAATTAAGCGTTATGATATCGCCCATCCCCTTTCAGATTACGATAGTAACAGTACATAGCGTTCCTTCCTACCAGATGAACAAACAATGACATGCCAACAGTTTATAAAGAACATGTTGGTGTACACTGTCGCTTTTTTCTTTTCCTTTATTTTATTAAAGGCTCAAGCGTCTGTTTTCCAAACTATTGCCAATCAAAACCGTCCGCCTTCTTAAACAAGGATGTCAATATGAATTTTGATTTTATCATGTTTCAACCTCAGATGGTTGTATTAAAACTCATTATATATTTTGTGTAACCATTTTTTATATAATGATGTTTAAGATGGTATAAGAAATAAAAGTGATTGTAATAAGTTCTCTCCCTTGCCCATTCATAGACATTTCCTTGTTTTGGATACTCTGTCCTCAAACAGATTTGTACCGTTTGAACCTTGTTGCTTTGGCGTAACGCCAAACAAAAATGGAAAATTTAGGATTAAAATAGTAACAATACATAGTTCACCTGCTAAAAATACACAGTACAGATTCTTTATCACCTCACTATATAACCGCTAGCCCGCGTAGTGTAGGAACCCATGTAAACAACATCCCCAGTACAAGACGTCAGGACGGAACGCAACTTCTTTGAGAACGTGACGTCACATGTCAGTTTTACTGTGGAAGTACGTGAACTAGCACACAAGCGCGAACTATCTCACGAGCGCGAACTGTCACACGAGTGACGTCAGACGCAAGATCGCTATCATCCGGCAAAAATCATTGCCGATGTTTAAACAATAATACAATGTCCTGGGCGTAATGGAAGTACCGGTCTGTCAAACCTACTTATTGTGCTGTGCCTATACAGAGAACAGGAGAAGCACACTGTTTGTGCAAACTGGTTGTATAGTCATTAATGTCAGCGCATTATAAACTTCACCCAGAAGTACTTATCAAATTTAATCGATTTTATTATTATGAAATATATATTCATCATACTATTGTTCCTTTGATTGTCCTACACACGTGCTGTTATTTATCAGGGCGATTCGATATCTAAGCTGGCGTTTGTTACCACTATTTGCCGAGACTCCTTAAGAATCAGATATTTCCCAAACATAGTTGGAGTTACTCTATTTTGGTCAATCGTCTTAGATGTATTATCTTGGTAAGATATGAATAAAATATGGTCATCATTGTCTATCAGACATTTTGAGGCTTTGTCTAGTTCAGAGGTCAAACTAAAATCCGTCGATAAAAGGGTTTCGTGGTCTTCATTACATCAAAAGATTTGATATCATTTGATGATTATACTTTCGACATATTTCATATATGTGCCTAATACAACACACAAAGCATCAGCATTTTTTCCTGTTGACTTCTTTGCAAACTTCAAGGATTGCAGGAAACGTGGACTAACCATATTCCACCATCATTGGCCTTGACTAAACAAAAACTAGTTACTTTTTGTATTATTTTTGCCCGTGTTCTATAATAATAATAATACTCATATACAACATTTGATATAGCGCCCTATCTAGCTGACATAAGCCACTCTAAAGCGCTTTACAGTACATAGATATACAATTGATACAATTAGCATATACATTAATCAATGCAATTTTGAGGTATTCGCAGGAGCTGCCTTATCTGGCTAATATCTCCCTATTTGTGTATGACTGCGTGTGTGCTGGATATGTAATGAGGTCTGTTTGTAGCTGGACTGTGCTTCCAACGGCATCATTTATAGTGCCATCTCACTTGAATGCTATAGCACAGATACCGAAACATCCACCCAGACCAATTTATACTCCATCTGGTTTGTTGGAGTTGTGTGGGCAGGAGAAAAACACTTTCTCTGAATATCCATGTTTACGCCGACTTCGGGGATCGAAACCCGGCCGGCTGTGTGGAAGGCCGGAGTGTTAACCACTCGACCAATCCGCCCATAAATCTATCTATATTCATCATTAAAAACATTGCTGACATTATTATTAATGATCTTACAGATAGCCCATCACTATGACGGCGGTGCAACCTGCACTCCTACATCGCTCAGAGTTTGTTGTTGATGTCGGAGAGAGCGATGAGAGCGCCGACACAGTGTCGTCTGCTCAAACATATAAACACTCAGTGACAGAGCCGTTCGTCCAGACTCATCCCGTTACTAGTTTACGGGTCGAAACCAACTCACAGTCTTCGTCATCTGGTGATCTGCAGGATACCGAACAAGCGAAAGCAGAATCAGAAGACCAACATTCAACAGAAACAAACTTCCTTGTGAGTCCGGCACCGGACATTGATAAATCATCGGTAGAATCAAGTCATAATTCACACCCGGACAACATGGCGTCAGCCTTTCCAGAACATTCTTTAAGTGGAAGGACGACAATGACTTTTCCAAATCAGTTGCCTGATGTGTATGAAAATTCATGTGAAATAAATCGTCAGCCAGCAGATTGGCAATGGACAGAGGGAAACTCCAAACCCGAGTACAACAAACTTCACAGCACAGACACACGCCAGACAGGCCAAAACTCAAACTTCACTACTAGTAACACTGCCACCTCATACGGTACCTCGCGTCAGTCCACTGACCCAACATGTAAACTCAGTGTAAAAGAGCAATCAAAGGTAGAGAGGGAGTTCACAAAGAAACAGCGCCAGGACACGAACCCTTCCAAACTTGTTGTGGTGTTTAAATGGATGGCGACAGTTTTCATGGGATTACTAGGGTTAGTGTGTCTGATAGGAAGCAGGGTTTCCTTCGTAGCCATAGCAGTAAGATTACAGCTCCCTGACAACCCTGAAAACGACTCGTACGCCTTCACGTTGGTTACAATGATTCTCCTCATCCCCAATCTCTTCAATCTACTGAGGTCTATGTGGATGGGACTGACTCGTAAAGACATGCCATGGCCCAGCAAGAGATCCATTATTTGGGTAACTGCTGTGTTTCATTTGTAAATAAAACAGATAATGTATAGAGATACCGCTTACACCATGTTTATAAAATCAAGAACTTCATTAAAGTTATCTTGTAAAATTATCAAAGTTGGTTTTAAGAGAAATTTTACAAAATACTGCATGTTTCCACAAAATATCAATTAAATAACAAATTTTATTTACGCTATTGAAAATTAATTTTCCTATCGTGTTGTTAAATGTTGTGGCGATGTTATCTTCTAAGTCATCAATTTTACCTTCGTGATAATACATATTGCAAGATGACACCCCTTTTTCAGAAATATGAAACTCTTTACCTGGTATAAAACTATTGACCACTATACTCGTCCTCGTACACTGCTACTTCAGTTATGCTTTTCATGTTTCAGATTGTCGGCACTAGTGTTGTGGAGTCTTTCGGAATATGTCTATTTGCATTCAAAATATTCGGCCTACAGTTCGGGGTGACTGGTATTGCCGTGAGTGGGTCTGTATATCTCGCCCCAATGATTTACATGATATATCGTCGTAGACGAAGTGGACAACCATATTCTGTAGCAGTTAGCTGTGGAATAGGAGCTGTACTCCTTATGATCGTTGTCAGTATGGCGGTATGGAGGGCAATCAGTATCGGCATCAAGGACAAGAAAGATATCTGGCACTTTGGTGCCGCCATACTTTGTTTGACAGTCACGTGGATTCCAAAGGTCCAAAAACGTCTAATTTCTCTCTCCACTTCCTCAGGTGGTTCAGTTGCAAGTACCACAGCGTATACACAGGGAGAAGCAGACGACAGCGGAACGTATGAAAACCATGTTGAGAGTGAGAGGTTTCAAGCATCTCAACAACTTGAAAACGTAGTTGAAAACACACAGAATGTTTTAGTGAACAAGGAAACGCAGTCTTTCTGGAAGTCTGGTATCATCATGTCCGCTTGTCGAATACCTGCTATCATTGTATTCTCCGTTGTTCTTTACTACTTTGACACAGATAAATCCTTTACTGGAGGAGCGTTAGCCTCGTTCCGGGAATCCTGGAACTACCTCACATCGGATACCGTAGCCTTCCGTATGTTTATTACCAACATCATATGTACATTAGTAGGCTATTTCCTATCCTTGGTAGCGTGTAGAATCAACATGCAGAGAGGGGCGTTCGTTCTGCCTCTAGCGCTTTCTACTCCGGGTGTTATGGCGATCCTTTCGGGATTTTGCTCGAGTAGCTATTTCTCCGTAGACGGAATGAACGAAAACGTATGTGCCTCGGACGAAATCCAGTACGTTGTTGCATGCAGTGTGTTGCTCTTTGTCTCTGTGTGTCTTTCTTTCGGCTGGATCATCTGGACCACAGGCACCATCATCATGTGTTCAGAATCCGAGGTAAGAACCATCATCATGTGTTCAGAATCCGAGGTAAGAACCTTTATCATGTGTTCAGAATCTGTTGTTGCAGGTGTTTTGGTCCCCTACCTACCCTGGTGTTATGTATGTTACTGTAGTGACGTGTGTTGTTCCAGATGTTTTGGTCCCTAGCAACCCTCGTGTTATGTCTGTTTCTATAGTGACGTGTGCTGTTCCATGTGTTTTGGTCCCCTAACTAGACTCGTGTTATGTATGTTACTATAGTGACGTGTGTTGTTACAGGTGTTTTGGTCCCTAGCCACCCTCGTGTTATGTCTGTTACTACAGTGACGTGTATTGTTCCAGGTGTTTTGGTCTCTAGCAACCCTCGTGTTATGTCTGTTACTATAGTGATGTGTATTGTTCCAGGTGTTTTGGTCCCTAGCAACCCTTGTGTTATGTCTGTTACTATAGTGACGTGTGTTGTTCCAGGTGTTTTGGTCCCCTACCTACACTCGTGTTATTGTTGTTACTCTAGTGACGTGTGTTATTTCAGGTTTTTTGGTCCACTACCTACTCTGGTGTTATGTATGTTACTATAGTGACGTGTATTGTTCCAGGTGTTTTGGTCCCCTAATTACCCTGGTGTTATGTATGTTACTATAGTGACGTGTGTTGTTCCAGGTGTTTTGGTCCCCTAATTACCCTGGTGTTATGTATGTTACTATAGTGATGTGTGTTGTTCTCGGTGTTTTAGTCCCCTACCTACACTCGTGTTATTGTTGTTACTCTAGTGACGTGTGTTATTTGAGGGTTTTTGGTCCACTACCTACTCTGGTGTTATGTATGTTACTATAGTGACGTGTGTTGTTGCAGGTGTTTTGGTCCCCTAATTACCCTGGTGTTATGTGTGTTACTATAGTGACGTGTGTTGTTCCAGGTGTTTTGGTCCCCTAATTACCCTGGTGTTATGTATGTTACTATAGTGACATGTGTTGTTCCAGGTGTTTTGGTCCCCTACCTACACTCGTGTTATGTATGTTACTATAGTGATGTGTGTCGTTCCAGGTGTTTTAGTCCCCTACCTACACTCGTGTTATTGTTGTTACTATAATGACGTGTGCTATTTCAGGTTTTTTGGTCCCCTACCTACACTCGTGTTATGTATGTTACTATAGTGACGTGTGTTGTTCCAGGTGTTTTGGTCCCCTACCTACACTCGTGTTATGTCTGTTACTATAGTGACGTGTGTTGTTCAAGGTGGTTTGGTTCCTTACCTACCCTGGTATTATCATTTTTACTATAGTGACGTGTGTTGTTCCAGGTGTTTTGGTCCCCTACTTACCCTGGTGTTATGTATGTTACTATAGTGACGGGTGTTGTTCCAGGTTTTTTGGTCCACTACCTACTCTGGTGTTATGTATGTTACTATAGTGTCGTGTGTTGTTCCAGGTGGTTTGGTCCCCTCCCTACACTCGTGTTATGTCTGTTACTATAGTGACGTGTGTTGTTCAAGGTGTTTTGGTTCCTTACCTACCCTGGTATTATCATTTTTACTATAGTGACGTGTGTTGTTCCAGGATTTTTGGTCCCTAGCAACCCTGATGTTATGTATGTTACTATAGTGACGTGTGTTGTTCAAGGTGTTTTGGTTCCTTACCTACCCTGGTATTATCATTTTTACTATAGTGACGTGTGTTGTTCCAGGTGTTTTGGTCCCCTACCTACCCTGGTTTTATGTCCTTTACTATAGTGACATGTGTTGTTCCAGGTGTTTTGGTCCCCTACTTACCCTGGTGTTATGTATGTTACTATAGTGACATGTGTCGTTCCAGGTTTTTTGGTCCCCTACCTACACTCGTGTTATTGTTGTTACTCTAGTGACATATTTCGCTCCAGGATTTTGGTCCCCTACCTACACTCGTGTTATGTATGTTACTATAGTGACGTGTGCTGTTACAGGTATTTTGGTCCATAGCAACCCTCGTGTTATGTCTGTTTCTATAGTGATGTGTGTTGTTCCATGTGTTTTTGTCCCCTAACTACACTCGTGTTATTGTTGTTACTATAGAGACGTGTGTTATTTCAGGTTTTTTGGTCCCCTACCTACCCTGGTGTAATGCTACACGAGTGGCTACTGGTATCACGGCGTAACAGACTGACAGAGGACCAGGATTCAGCCCCACGTGTCGTACAGAAAACTATAGTCTACATCTGTACCACTATGTATCGTGAGGTGAGAAAAAATATTAAAGTATTAAACATCGTTGTAACAAGGTTTGTCTTACATTTAACGGTTTGATGATGACAATAATCATATAACATAAGGACTTAATAAGGCATCAAATCGTGACTTTTGTTTTTCTATTCTTAAGGCTATTAAAAGTCAAAGTCAGGTTTAATTGAAGTTAAACATGTGATACGTTTTTTTGGTGTGTTTTTTTTCTCTCACAATTATAACCATTACTATTATCCATATGTTGTAAAGCGCTTTAGAGAAATTTTACAAATAATATAGGGCGCTATATAAATGTTGTATATTATTTGTATATTATTGTATGATATATACCACCACTGACACAATATTTTCCTTTTAAAAGAGTTTCGCACAACGAATGTTGTAGAATGTTCAAACTGGCATTGTACGCTTCATAACAATGGAGGATAGAAAACAATGCCAGGTCGCGAATTGTTGTTCGTTAATGTGCAAAATATCGAAATGATATGTTTTTATCCGGAAGACGGTGGTAGGTGGTGGCTCTTTCCTTGCCCAGGAAAGTTTATCATCTTATTTATTTTCTTAAAACAAACGGTGCTTCAATTTGAAAAACAAACGATGCACAATTTCACATTGCATTTAAAGGTGTGAGTTAAATATAACCACATGTATCACGGGAAATTCGGTGATAGTCCCTGTTAATTTTAACCATTGATGTGTATATTGTAGACCAGGGATGAAATGCAACAGTTACTTAAGTCTATCGCCCGGGTGAAGGACGCCAAGGCTCATTCCGACAAGTATTTTGAATCGCACGTGTTTTTTGATGGAGGAGTAAAGGAGAAGACCCCGACAGACTTCGCTTTACAGCTTGTCAGTCTGCTGCCGGAAACCCTGGGTATGTGTGCCGCAGAGCTGATCTGTTGCTATTTCAAATATATAAAAGACAATTCCTGTGAGAAGAACAAAGACATCGTTTGGCTTACCTTAAATATATCTGTTACTTGTTTTTAAATAATAGATAAGTTATTTTCTATTTTGTGTATTTAAGTTACATATTACAGTCGAACCCACTAACGTTGAACTCGGATACATTGAAATACCACTTAGTTGAAAGAAGATAAATCTCCTGTTGGTTTTCTATATTTTCTTGGAATATCGATATCGGTTACATTGAACAATTTAAAAACCGCTTTTAATGAAAGGTTTTTCGTTCCCCGTCACCTTTAATTTTGTTAGAACAATATCGATAAGAACGGTAGCTCACTTGGTCATGGTAAAGGGGCCGAATGAATAGCCAGCTTGGGTAAATCACTATGTGTTCAAATGACGTGGCTTCCCCAAGGTCACACAGAAAACATAATTGGAAATATACCAAAAAACGAAATACCCGTATTTTCGGTACAACCACCAGCACTTAGCTTCAAACACAAGCTGCAGTTCCTGACAATTTGTTTGTTTTTACTCGGTCGCAATATCGTAAACTGTCTTGTATGACTGACTGTTTTCAAAGGTCTAACAGTCAAATATGTTTTAAAGACATTTTATATGTACATTTGATTATTTATATATGTCAACTATAACCATTTGTACACACTATTTTAGCAACACATCAAGGAGGGCTCATAAATAAGTGAACTGTTTAAGTCGTATATCTTAATTCATTTAGATAGCCTTGGTTACCACAATAACAGAACTGTTTATTTCATCAAAGTAATACAGGGAGCTAGAGTGTCGTAGGTTATCAATGTTTTGCATTCTGCATGGACACAGGTCAGTACTAATCACCTCCGTCATCTTGAGCTGACAACTGTAGGATACTAGTTTGTGCGATTAATTGTTCTGATGTCAACTTCATTGGATGTATACTGAGTTGAGGTGACTCAGTACATATATAAGATTGACGTCACAATCTGTAATCACTGATACACCCCTGCATAGATAGTTTGATTTGATATATTTGTGCATTGTTACCGAAACAATAACAACAGAAAGCATTTACCTGACATAACGTCATTTAGAGACATTACGTCATTTAGAGACATTACGTCATTTAGATAGAGTGTCTGTTAAGGTAAAGCGAACCACCAAGCAAAAATGTGTCTTGAAGATTTATGATTACGTCAAAAATTAGTATTAGATATCTGCTATCCATAGAAGGAATAAAATTTGTATGATGCCATGCTGGTTTTCGATTTATAATATTTTCCCCATTTTCCCATTTTCCTTAACTGAAATGCATTTTTGTCCAATATTTGCTATACTAATATTCTAACACTGCTTAAGTATAGTTTGTGATGCTGGATTTAGGTCAAATTATAACAAAAAGCGATTTATTGCCGTTTTTTCATGTAAAACGTTTTCGTACACATGTCAACGCACCTAAGTTGTTTTTTCAAGTTTTAAGCTATTTTGATAAAAAAAAAAAAAAAAAAAAAAAAAAAAACACACACACACAAGCGTTCCACAACATGTTGAACTTGATTAGATTGTATATACTAATCATTCAGTCTTGACAGAGATAAATTTCAGATACATGCTGTCTCAATTTTTTACATTTTGGTTAATCACATTTATAAACTTAGTCACTTTATTGATTTAAATGATTTTAGTTTAAATTGCTGTTTATAACGTCTTTGTTACTATCAATCAAATATAACACATGACAATATATCTAGACGAGTTTATGGTTGATAACAAGCCGTTTGTTTATTTCTCATATCTTGCTCGGTACATGTGTACTTATGCACATTAACCTCTGACTAGTCATATTACAGGCCGATCTTTATCAGACTGACCACAGATTAACACGTATTAAAATTAAATATATCATGAATGGAAATACTATAAACCGTGTGTAAAGTCTTTATAAATCACAGTCATTGTTTGTTCCTGTCTTTATATACGTTACAGCACAATAGTCTAAATGTTATATTAGCATAGAGAATGAAGATTAAGAACGCAAATAACAATAATGATACTAATATAAAAATGTCCAATACCATTGTTTGTGTCAACAGATGGGACCATCCTCCTATATCTCGGCTGGTATACGGTTATACGGTTATATTCACATCTATACGCAGGATTTTAATCCACTGAAAAATGGCTCAAAGACGAAATGAGTAATAACCAGAGATTTACGTAACGCATTATATCCAGATGATCGTGTTTATTATATTCTGTATTAATTGTTTTTAGTTAACACATGTGTACATTTGTTCAATATTCTTTTATGAATTAACAAGCAAATTTTCACAATGTAGATTACCTTGTTTATTGGCAAACAAAGTTTTACACTTATTCAATCATCAGTATGGGTTCATCTCCACAACAAAGTTAGAGAGTAAATAGGAATTTGTCGCTCTGTCTGAAGACATCGTTTTTGTCTCCTTAGAACTGCACTGAGTTTAATGTCGCCTCAAATGTGCACACTCCATTTCCATCACAATCCTCTCCTTGTCATCGTGTTACAGTCGTGTGTTTCACATTGCTGTTTTGAGAGTTATTCCTATGATCTTAAATATTGCTTTTAACAAGCATGTCCAGTTCTCCAACCCAAAGTGTCCATTCAACGAAAATCTGAAAATACATGTTTATGTATAACATATTGTTTCAATCCCCTTTTGTCAATGTTTTGTTGGTTAATGTAAATGTAGACCGTTGTCTACACAACTCTGGAGTACTCCACCTATAAATTTAACCTTAACATGTGTAACTTATTGTCTAAATCCCTTTTGTCAATGTTTTGTTGGTTAATGTAAATGTAGACCGTTGTCTACACAACTCTGGAGTACTCCACCTATAAATTTAACCTTAACATGTGTAACTTATTGTCTAAATCCCTTTTGTCAATGTTTTGTTGGTTAATGTAAATGTAGACCGTTGTCTACACAACTCTGGAGTACTCCACCTATAAATTTAACCTTAACATGTGTAACTTATTGTCTAAATCCCTTTTGTCAATGTTTTGTTGGTTAATGTAAATGTAGACCGTTGTCTACACAACTCTGGAGTACTCCACCTATAAATTTAACCTTAACATGTGTAACTTATTGTCTAAATCCCTTTTGTCAATGTTTTGTTGGTTAATGTAAATGTAGACCGTTGTCTACACAACTCTGGAGTACTCCACCTATAAATTTAACCTTAACATGTGTAACTTATTGTCTAAATCCCTTTTGTCAATGTTTTGTTGGTTAATGTAAATGTAGACCGTTGTCTACACAACTCTGGAGTACTCCACCTATAAATTTAACCTTAACATGTGTAACTTATTGTCTAAATCCCTTTTGTCAATGTTTTGTTGGTTAATGTAAATGTAGACCGTTGTCTACACAACTCTGGAGTACTCCACCTATAAATTTTACCTTTACATGTGTAACTTATTGTCTAAATCCCTTTTGTCAATGTTTCGTTAGTTAATGTAACTGTGTCTTTGTAACCATCGTGTTGTTTCTATCGATGTGATGTTAGGGACCAAGTAGGTGGAAATCAAAATTGGTCCAAACCATTGTTAAAACAGAACAGGAGGTGACAGCTGATTGGTTGATTGATGGGTTCTACGTCCGCTTCACTACCGAGTAGTTCGGTTATCCAGCAGACGATTGAGGTGGCAAAACCTCAAACCTATCTAAAATTATACCTTCGTGTCGCTACCGTTTTCGATAGACATATCAGTAAACAGGAGCGATGCGCAAGATCTAATTTTAATAAATAGGCAAATTTCTTAATTACACTAATTTAAAAAACAAAAACTATGGAGTTTTAAAATAGATTTGATACGTTTCAACGAAACCATGTCAACAGCCAGCAAGCATTTGATCTATCATGTGAAACACTCTATTGATTCAACCTTTTTCCTAGGACCTAAGATGTTAATATCATACACATGTTTGCGAATTCTCCTTCGTGTTGTAATTTCATGCAGTTCAAAATGACTTTTGAATAATTACTACTTTAATACACTTAATAAAGTAACTTAATAGGAAAAAGATGATAATGTGGTCAGTAAATCATGGTGGTGGTTTTGGGAGGGGGTAGTATGCAGAATTATGAGTTAGTCTCTTGATTAAAAATTTAGTACTCCACTGTCAGGATCTGACCAATTTTATGTAAATAATTTGTACTTGTCTTCCGATCTACTAGCTATGATATTGTGTGATTGTATCTTTGTTTAAAATATGAGAAGAAGAAAAAGAAAATAAAATTAATGACGATTGTTTTGATTATACGACGTCTGTTCTAAAGATATTGTATAACAAAGATAATATTTTATTGGGGGCACTTTTATAGCAAACACCCATCCTTCTGTTACAGGGACAAAACCTATGCTCAAACTCCCATCCTTCTGTTACAGGGACAGAACCTATGCTCAAACTCACATCCTTCTGTTACAGGGATAGAACCTATGATGTGTACCAGATCTATGACCGCGTACGGGATGAAGCTCTCCTGGCAACTGTTAGCGTCCGGTGAGAGGCGTCAAGCACGTGGCATGACATTTACAATTCACCTAAAGGACAACAGAAAGGTATGTGTAGATTGAGTTTAAAGAGGTCTAGAAAGGGGGTGGGCTAGGGGGAATGTCAGCGGGGGGATTCAAACGGCGAGAAAGAGATGTCAATGTGAGGGAAACAGGACAACAGAATGTTGGCGGGGAGTGGGGGAGGTTTGGTTGGCTTTAGTATTGTTTAACGTCCTATCAACAGCTATGGTAATTTAAGAACGACCTCACCTGTGTGCAAGATACATACGTGTAGTGTATGATGCCGAATTTATAGTGATACCTCACTGAAAAATACTGCCAAAGACAACCAGCAGGACACCCCACTTTGTCACATTACACTGACAACGGGCGAACCATTCATCCCACTCGTTAAGTGCTGAGCGTTAAACAGGAGTTGAAACTACCATTTTTACAGACCTAGGTACGTCTCGGCCGGGGACAGAACCCAAAGCCTTCCTCACAGGGGCGACCGCTCAACTAAAGAACAAAAGTGATGCATTGTCAATGGAGACATTAGGAAGTAGAAAATTGTTTAGAAAGAAGAGAAAGATAAGATCCCAAATTTAGTCGCCTCTAACGATCATGCAATGGGGGCAGCAGGTACAATTCTTACGCCCTACCTCCTGGGAGCCTGTTCCACTAATATTCTATATCCGTAGCCGAAATTCTTTCGAATTAACGCAAGCAAATCAATTCTCGTAAAAATCAGTAATTTAAATGTGCATGAATCAATCCAGCTTGTCTCCATTTTTCAAACATTATATGACCTCCTGATTAGCCACTTAAGGTTGATGTGATTCACAGGACACACGTATCTATAGCGTTATCTTAGCCCTCATCTTCCCGGTATCGTTAATGTGCTATCACGTCCTCTCCTTGACACCAACACTAACTCACTGTATCATTAGCAGACCACGTGTCAGCCATGCCCGTCGTGAGATTGTTTGTGAGGGGCCGGTAGGGTGTTCTAGCTAATACCACAGCAGTACCTTCCTATCTAAGATACCATGGTCACATAGGAGCCTTAAATCTTTGGCGGTATTGACACTTCTTCGTCACATGTCAAAATTAGAGTTTTTATTGAATCCCAGTAAGAAGTTTTTTCTTTATCTAAACAGTTGTTGATTTTCATTTTGTATTGAGTGTTGGCAATCGTCTTGGTTCGTAGTTGTTATTCCGCATATTTAAGGACTGAAATGCATTTCCATATATTTCTTGGTGGTACGAAACAAGTTACTAACAAAACCATTTGTACTATTATAAATGTGGAATAAAGATACATTTCAGTTTGTATATTTGGTTCATAATACAGTTTGACATCTAAATTTAAGTATGAATTTTGCGTCAGAAAGTGAGTGATCCCCAATTATTTTCAAAATATGACAGAGGGTACTTGGCTGGTAAATTATATTCAGAAATATATTAAGATTTTAAAATGATTCGGAAAATCGAATATTATCATATTTTAGCATAACATTTCGTCATCAATTAATCAAAATAATCAATTTTTTGATAACCTTTTTTGAAACTATAAATCTAATATTAACGATTGTCTATGTAGGTGAAAAACAAGAAACGATGGAGTCAGATCATGTACATGTCGTACGTCCTCGACTTTCTCGTCAAGCAGTACATCGACTCGTCAGGTAACCCACAGGGTGAGTAATTATGTCACTGACTCGTCAGGTAACCCACAGGGTGAGTAAATATGTCATTGACTCGTCAGGTAACCAAGATGGTTATTTACCACTGTCAGTGACTCGTCAGGCAACCGAGAAGTGTGAGTTACTAATGTCATTGACTTGTAAGGTAACCCAGTCGGTTAGTTACTAATGTCAATGACTCGTCAGGCACCCGAGAATGTGAGTTACTACTGTCAGTGACTCGTCAGGCAACCCAGTAGGTTAGCTACTACTGTCAGTGACTCGTCAGGCACCCCAGAAGGTTAGTTAATTATATTAATAACCCGTGAGGTAACTCAGAAGGTCAGTTATTACTCTACGATTGGAAATCAGCGTTCAAATACGGCAGAAAATCTCGCATCCTAACTATCCAATAAACCATATACATTTTCTATCTTAATCTTAATTAAGATACCAAAAATGGTGAATATGTTGTGATACTATAGATGGCAGTAAAAAGGGGATAGAAACCTAGGCAACATCTTTCATGCATACATTCTTAGTTTTCTTTGAAAGTAAAAGACCTGAAGGAATGATGTCGTATGTAATCGACCATAAAATACCGGTATTCAGCTTATTGTGACATTGGTAGGGGTAGGAAAGAACCTCTAGAGAACAACGCGACTGTAGACAAGAAGACCGAAATACTCCTTTGTTGCCTTGCCATTATGAATGTAAATAGGCCCACGTGTTATTTGGGTGATTGTGTATTCATGTAACACCTTTTATTGTATGTATCTATTTGTACCTGCTAGTTGACGATAACAACGCCTTCATCCTCACCACTGACGCGGATGTCAATTTCACACCGGCATCTGTGGAGGCTTTACTTGATCTCATGACCCGGGACCGATCAGTCGGAGCGGTATGCGCACGCACACACCCTGTCGGATTCGGTCCTCTGGTATGGTACCAGAAATTTGAATACGCCATCGGTCATTGGTTCCAAAAGGTAAAATTAAATGTAGATATAAAGGAGATTGTAAGAAACAATTGACAATGTCGATGATAGATCCTTTTGTCTAGCTGGAAGAGTCACAAGAACAGTATAATTGTATCTGTACCAGAAATCGCACATTGCTTCGTCTATGCTAATGTTTCTAGCATTTTTTCCAAATTAAATGCGAAAGTGTTACGTTTCAAATTGTGGTTTTTTTTGGGAGATAATGTTTTATATGGATAATTATGATAACTAATTCAAAAAAGGGTATTTGTCATTTTTTGATCGTATGGGATTTTCTCATCTATCGGCATTCTCAGTTGTGTGCAATGACATGAAGTACAATGTTTCAGGCTGCCGAGCACGTGTTGGGATCGGTGCTTTGTGCCCCTGGCTGTTTCAGTGTGTACCGAGTTAGTGCTGTACGTGATATCGTCTCTACATACTCCTCCAACGTAGAGAAGGCGTTTGAGTTCCTCACCAAGGATATGGGCGAGGATCGCTGGTTCTGTACCTTACTGGTGAGTGTTGGGAGTAGAAAGGGACGGCATTCCACTGTAATGTATTCAAAGTCGTTTTAATACGTAGGCCTTCACATGCAGAGAGGAATGCATTCAATTGGGGGTGGGGGCCGAGTTCATTTTGCTACGGTGACGACCATTTCATGTGCAGCACCAGATGAAGCACACTCAGAGGCTTGCACTTTCTAGTGACCTACACAAAATGATCATCATATTATTAATACCATGCCTCCTACACTTGCAGGTGCAAAGTGGCTGGAGAATAGAATACTGTGCCGCATCAGAGAATGAAACTCAGTGTCCGGAGGAGTTTGAGGAATTCTACAAACAGAGACGGCGTTGGATCGCGTCCACCATCGCCAACCTGCTGCTCCTGGTGCGTGAGTGGAAGATCATCAGCAAGTTCAACCAACGAGTATCGCTCCTCTTCACCATATACCAAGGACTGCTTCTCTTCTCGACGTTGATTGGTCCGAGTGTCGTTATCCTGGTTGTCTCGGGTAAGTTGATTGGTTATCATTTTGTTAAATACTCGTTCATGCACCGCCGGAATTAAACATGTCAAAACATCCCATCCAATACGTCAGTATCTTTGTATAAAAACCTTGAAACTCACCGTCACGTCATTTTCACGTCATAGAAACAGTCGACTTTAAAAAATATTAGTACTTTCCTGCTCGATCAAGGACAAATTAATGTTATTTTTTGTCGCAGGTAAGCCCTATGAAGCTATTGTTATTCTTTCTGCAACGCATTTTTATGAAAAATCTTAAGTAAGTTATAACGATGTTTGTAAAGTCAGAGTAACAGACACAAATATGATGTTGCCATAACATTCTCAGCAGTAGTTGGCACGCATGCGTGGTGGCGTGAAATAAAATGCACGCATCCATCAATAAACTACGAACTATCTTTACTGTCGGGATTCATTTCCTAATTGCGTTTTTATATTCGGATACCCTCTGGTGTTTACACAGGCGGTCTTGTGTACGCCTGGAATGTGAGCAGTGTGACGACCATCATACTACAGTGTCTGACCTGTGTAGGATTCACAATCATCTGTCTCTACTTCTCTCAAACAACACAGATGAAGGTAAGAACGTGAGGATATCCCTAATGTCCTACTGGACAACCGTTATTAACTGTTCAGACTAACTTTTTACGCTAAATTATCCCGTTTTAAGTTATCTGCTTGTTTAATTGGTCTCAGCCACAATATATCAATTTTATACAATGATCTAGATTTCTCTCCCATGTTACTTGGTAGACACCTGTAGCTGTTATTAAACACAACTAAGTGACCAATAAATTGGCAATGTGATTTTTTAGAGTTTTAGAATGTACTTTTACGCACTGACTTAAATTGATACGTTGATACATCCAGGCAAGGGAAGCGGCGCAACTCATATTGTGATTGTTTACGTTATATAAAACTATTTTACATCTGTAAAAATGAATTGTACGGGTACAGAACACGTAAATAGATGAAGTTGGTCCATGTAGAGTAGACATTCCACTGTTAAGAAATTTAATATTTTTTTAAGATTTCATAGATTGTCACCCTGGGATCGTTATACATGTTATCTTTACCTTCGGCACATATATATTGTATAAGCATTGTTCCTTCCTAAATCAGACAAACGCGCGCAATATCGAGCTATGGAGAAGATTATAAAAATATTTCTGAAAACATTTTTCTGATCGTCTTCTTTAAAATGTCGTACAATTTTCAGTTTAAAACGACATAAAATGACGTTCGAAAAGTTTGTTCTACGAAAGAAATGTATACAAGAAATAGAAAAGCGAAACCACGGTCTCAAATATCGAATATAAATGCTCTTTTAGTTGTGTTAACAAATATAAGGAGATTTGTAATGCAGGGCGCTAAGACAGTCAGATCTTCGTGTCTTTTACTTACAAGGAAAACTAAGAATGTATGCATGAAAGTTCAAACACAATTAAAAGACAAAGTAATTTCAATGTTTGTCGTTATTAAAACGAAACGAATAAATTTAAAAGAAGAATAAGAAATGATTACTTCTATTTACAATTCGCGTGATTGTGATTTCATTATTTCTTTTAGTGAGTTTAATACCATAGAAAAATGAGAAGTTCGTAAAAACTTGTATGTTTCGATTTCATAGGCCGCCAAAATACTAACATTTCTGTACGCATGCGTCATGATGGCTGTTGCCGTGGGAACAGCTCAGCAGGTGGTCCAGGACCTTACAACAAACGACGACGGTACCAGTAGCAGTGAGGTTGTCACCATCAGTCCGTCCGGTAACTGACCTTATTATAACTTTATAACTAACGTTCTTGCTAACATTCATGAGCAAAAACCAGATCAAATATTTCAAAATTTCTATTAACATTTCATATTATGGAAAAAAACGAATGTCAGCGAAGATGTTATTTGTTGATAAGACATGTAAGGTTTCAACCATTAGTCCTACGTGATTAGCAGATGATCTAGTTTTTCAATGACTGTGATATCAGAAATGCATAAAAGCTTCAATAGTATACCCTTGTGCAATAATGAGTTGCTTAGTTACAAAGACTCTTACAACGTTGTGGAGAGCTTTCATCATTTAATTGGGGGGGGGGGGGGGGTCTTTTTTTATCAATAATCAATAATGCACTAAAAATTGGTAATTCGGCAATAAGTCCTCCAAAGGCTGCTCAAAATGAGTGTATGATGTAAACATAGTGTCAATATTATTTCTTTTTGTGCTGAATATTGATATCACACTATACATACTTATCCCCAGACTTCAGTGTGGACCTGCCATATTCCTTGACCACCTTGTACTTGGGAAGCCTCATCTCGATTTTCTTAGTCGCTGGTATACTTCACCTTCGAGAGTTTACGTGCCTCATCCACGGCTTCTGGTACCTGATATGTTTACCTTCGGGATACCTCATCCTCAACATATACAGTGTGTGTAACATCACGGATAGATCGTGGGGTAAGATTTTCTGTTGTAATTTCTTCTACCGCCTCTCCTCCAGACATATTTATCTCTTAGTAGCAGACTGTTTGTATCTAATTTTTCCATTATCCGTGAAACAACAAACGTGCAGGATACGCCCTTTTTATGATGAGAACTCTTGTATTCAATTTCGTCTAGTTCGAACTTTCACTGTCTAGAAGATTAGAAACTGTTCATGGTTGAAAGCAAAATTAATGTTCCAACTGACCTGAGGCTTACCGTATACAAAATCACCAATTAAGTTCTTATGTTTGTGTGTGTTAACACTGCGGTAACTTTTGTTTGTGTGTGTTAACGCTGCGGTAACTTATGTTTGTGTGTGTTGACACTGCAGTAACTTATGTTTGTGTGTGTTGATGCTATGGTAACTTATGTTTGTGTATGTTGACGCTATGGTAACTTATGTTTGTGTGTGTTGACGCTGCGGTAACTTATGTTTGTGTGTGTTTACGCTGCGGTAACTTATGTTTGTGTGTGTTGACGCTGCGGTAACGTATGTGTGTGTGTGTGTTGACGCTGCGGTAACTTATGTTTGTGTGTGTTGACGCTGTGGTAAATTCTGTTTACGTTAGGTACTCGGGAGGAAAAAGAAAAGTCAGTAGTCAAAGATACAAGACCTTGGTATGAAATAGTTGGAGAAACAATCCAAAAGGTTTTTCTGTAAGTACTCTTTTTATCTTTAATATATTTCATATTTCAGAGGTACTTTATACAATGGCTCGTGTATCATGTACATGTGCACCTCGAGTTTTATTATTATTATTGTTATAGCGTTATTGTGTTGCAATTAGTTTGATAGATTTATTGCCTTTTTTACTTCGCAATTTTGACTTTTGATAAGAAGCTAATGAAAATATTTATCAAATATCAATTTAAGGAAATCTAGATTCACCGATGATCGATTCCTGAAAAAGAGCAGCTTTAAATCAAGTTTTCCTCTCGGAATTAGGTTACAAATGATCAGTTTGCGGGTTGTTTTGTTCTTATTTATACATTTGCGTTAAATTATCGTAAAACGGGGGGCATCATAGAAGTCAATTCGAACGATCATGAAGTGGGATAAAGCAGGTCTTTTCTTTCCCCGAAACTACACAAGGTTGATGTGTAAGCTTATGGATTTACAAACATGAGTCTATATTACAGTTGTTGCCAGTGGACAGCTAAACAAACTCCCAGTGACTCAGCACCCGGTCCCGTCCGCGTCCGACACACTTCAATGTCAGAAAGCCACCCCAAATCAAAAGGAAGTGCTGGAGACCTCCCTAAAACAGTGATTGAGGAAAAGGACAATCACCCTGAAGGTAGGCCAACATCAATACATGTAGTTCTTGAAATCTGACAGATGAAATAAAAACTTATCCCAACGTATGAAAAGTTTTACTTAATATTTTTAAGGAATGTCCAGTGTGGCAATTTAATTTATGAAAGCAGAGAGTGGGAACGGGCTCTTTGTTTTAATTACACTTTATTAATAATACAACACTTATGAAATCCGTAGTGAACTTATTTAAATAACGCTTACTGACCCAGAGGGTACGGTAAATGGGGCGTTAATGTTGGGGGGAAACGCAGTACACACGTAGTTGGGCAGGTTACCCGATACATTTTCAAGTCCAATTGGGAAATCAAACCCTTGCTGTGATAGTGAAAGGTACCACCCAACCGCTCTTGAAGAATTTTGATTAGTAAGAAAGGAGTGTGAGACGTTATATTCTGGTCGTCTAGAGAGGAAAGGAGAGACATGGGACCTAGTTCTGGTTGGTGAGGAGAGAAGGTAGGACTAGTGTATACTCATAGGATGAAGACAATAGCTTGTCTAATGCTGTAGAAGAATTCATGTATTCATGATTGGCTATAGAGGATGGTAGGACGCGAGACATTTTAGCTAGAGATATTAGAAACTTGGGGGAAATTGTAAGTGAGCAGTGTCGGATTTTACTCATTCTCATTGGTTAGAGAGGAATGTGCTATAGGATTCTGATTGGTAAGAGAGTTATGTGTTATAGGATTCTGATTGGTTAGAGAGGAATGTGTTATAGGATTCTGATTGGTTAGAGAGGTATGTGTTATAGGATTCTGATTGGTTAGAGACGAATGTGTTATAGGATTCTGATTGGTTAGAGAGGAATGTGTTATAGGATTCTGATTGGTAAGAGAGATATGTGTTATAGGATCCTCATTGGTTAGAGAGGTATTTGTTATAGGATTCTGGTTGGTTAGAGAGGAATGTGTTATAGGATTCTGATTGGTTAGAGAGGTTTGTGTTATAGGATTCTGTTTGGTTAGAGAAGAGTGGGGAACTCGACCTCTCAATACCAATGTACTGTACAGTTGCTAAAATTCGTTATTTTCACTGTCGCCAAAGACAACGTGAAATTAACATACTCAGTGAGCATTAATACCATGGTTTTAACATACGTGAATATCTATTTATATATATAGACACACACAAAAAAACCTGTTTACTGCCCAATAATGAAGATAAAACTAGAATTCAATATCGTGTTTAACTTTATTTTTACAAAACTCCTTTAAAATAAATATCATCACCTAAATATGAGAGTATCCCTGTGAGTGTTTTATTTTTACCTGGAAGTGTTGCGCGAAATTTAATCCCCGCGAAATATTAGCCCCGCGAAGTTAAACAACTGTACAGTATACTACTGTATCGAACCAAAGTCCCACACATGAACCTATTGGCGTATTCATTCCTTTTGTTTAAAATATGTAGGTGTTAATCATGTTTAGGTTCGACTTAGTGTGTGTTGTGTTTTCTATATGAAGGAGGGTTAAGTTAACGTCTTCAGTGTGTTGTATACTCTCTAGTCAATATCTGCTGTAAGACAAAGATTTGTTTTAGACGATCTTCAGCACAGTATGACGCACGAGGAACCGATACAGGAGGCGGAGGATAGCTACTTTGAGGACGATGTGATGCCACAACTCTTGGAGGAGTGGCTGGACAATGATTTCAAGGTGAGTAATCCAGGAGTAGGTTGTATTACATATCTGACCCGCTATATTATACGGCCATGTCATAAATATGGTATTACACACGTGTTACTAAACCTAAAGGTGCTGCGATTGGTCAAAACCGTGGAGACATATTCCTACGCCACTTAGGGTACTAGTTTTATAAACAATTCCACGTGAAATATTTACCATTATTCTAAATGAATTTAAAATGTTTATTTTGTCATTATTATTCTCATTGCATTTAAAACTGACCATTATTAAAAACATAAACTGGCACTTCTTTGTCACTGCGCGGAACGGCAATACTATGATCAGAGTACTTTGGTATTGATGTATAGAGTCAGCTGATAACAGATCATTGTATTTGCATTTTTTTTTCATATGATGAATGTTGTGTGATAAAAAGTATCTCACATTCGTGTTCATGTCATTTTGAATTTATTTCACTCCTTTAATAAATTCAAGATGACATAAACACTCATGTAAGATTATATTTATCATACAGTATGTATAATCGGTTTACGCGATGCAAATCAACAATCTATGCGTATGGCATCTCTTCAATTACAAAACAAAATAAGTTTTATTAAAATGAAACCTGAACTGATTTACACTATGGCTGTTTTGTTAGGAAGAATTTACCATTCATAAATGTAATTGTAAGAGTCTGCGTATTTCTAGTATACAATAATCACAACAAAAGGAAGAACGGAAACACCTATTTGAAAAATGTTTGTTTGTAGATGTAGAATACCAAACAAAGTGAACTTTTTACTGCATCCTTATTAGGTCATAACGGTAAACATTGGACACACAATACAAAAATATGTGTCTTAAGTGTGTACATTACATATGACAGGGAAATGTTCATTTAAAAACCTTTATAACGTGACAAATGTACCACAGATAATTGATGATTAAACTTGTACTTCATGTAAACCGCAATAAATTCTAGCTATGGCCAACATTTGGGAAGGATAGTCCAAAAGCAGACTCATGTTACGTAAAACAATAGGGTAACACATGAAGAAAGGACAGACTTATTTGAACATTTTGTTTGTATATGCATAAAGCCAAATAAAGCTTGGCAATTCCGTTCCTTAAGAATTCGTCAGTAGTGCTTTAGTTCAAAATAATGAAAATTCCATATCTGAAGTGTTCTAAAATATATGTAGAATAGAGAGAGACGGGAGAGGATACCAATAACATATTTACGAGGTTACAACAGATGATTGATATTTAAATTAGTACTAAAGTATTTCATTTAAGCCGTACCATTATAACTCACAGTGAATCTGGTCGCTTGTTATCTGGTTCTACCAGGTCTACTTTTACGATAAAATACATTAGTTCTTTAATAAGCTACACTTCAGGGGAAATGTTTTTAGTGCTTACCTTTTTTGGTGTTGTTAATCACGTATTTTTTGTTCCTGCAAAAGGATTACATCCCCCTGTTCAAGAAGCACGGCTTTGACAGTACGCTGTTTATCAGTGCCATGAAGGAGAAGGACCTGGTGGCTATTGGAATCAAGCAGAAGGCCCACGTCACATACCTGATGGACCAAATCACAGCACTCCCAGACTTCCGCATTGAAGTCAATGTCCCGGTACGTATTAAATCTCAGGTGAAATAAAATATTGTGTTATCTATAATTGTTGTAATTAAATGTACCGTCCTAATTAAAAGACTCTAAAATATAATCAAAAGAGTTCGGTAATCGTGTCTGCATTGTCACTAAAGATGAACCTGTGTTTACATCTATACAACTTGATAATAGATACAGTATGCCAGATACGAACTAGGCTGCACCACACAGCTGGTTTGTCTTGCTTGAGTGTAAATTCTGATGTTCATTACCTAAGCATAAAGATGTTCTTTGAAGGTTTTACAATAGCCCCTATATTGACACACTTGGATACTTGCACTATATAACCCCACTGAGGTCAAATGGCATTCATATCAGCAATGAATGCATGGCCCACGTGTTGACACCATTATCAGTATGACGTCATAATTTTAACGTTGGATATTACAGACCTCCCTTGAAAATGGCTGTTCTATTCATTAAGTAAACATACACGTTACACAAAGACAAAATATATTTCAAAAATGGTTAATATGGTTAAATCCTTATTTAGCATCCAATATGAGTGGCATCTTTATAGGCTATGAATGCAAACCAAACGTAGTTCAGTGCAGATTTAGCTCACCAGGGGTTTCAGTTACTTTTTGGATATATTTCCTTATCCTTGTCTTCTAAAGATCATTTTATAAAATGTTGTTCAAAATTAACGAGTAAGTTTCAGAGGAGGTGTTATTTAAAGGTTTTGCACTTCAATCCCTTGGGTCAGCCCCTTCTTTAGCGCAGAATTAAATAAAACATAATTGTTTATGAACGACGACGGACGAAAGCCAATCGCAATAGGTGACCTGAGCAACTACAATGACCAAAACAATGAAAAAGAATTGTATATATTATGTTATTAGATTTTGACGCAATAATGAAGACAGTCCACAAAAATTAACACGTGATTACAAGAGAAAACTACTATTTTGAAAAATTAGATAAAAGTTTGGTAAATAGAGGTTGTTTTTTATTCCTGTGTAGCATGGTCCACATGTCCAGATCAGCTTTGTCAAATGCAAACCCCTTAGTTCATAAATCCGGCTCAATGTTGTTGATATTGGGAATACTCTTGGCGAGTTGTTAGAGTTTAAGACTAGGAGTTCTGTGTTATCAATGGAGTATTAGTGGTTTATCAGATTAGTAGAGACGGGTACTGTGTTACTAAAAGGGAACACCGTCTATTTATAGAAACAATATAAACCAGATAAATGATTTAAGGCCTTTCCTCTTCCTGGATTTGTGTTTTGTTATTGTTTTACTGATGTACAGGAGAATGTACGTGATTGGCTCCGAGATATCGGATTAGAACAGTACTACGGGGTGTTCAAGTCCAGCAAAATCACAGCATCAAAAGATCTGGAAATCCTGAAGTCATTTTCACGGAAAGAAATCGAATCCGAGCTAAAAATCACCAAGGCGGGTACGTTATACAGTCAGCGAATGGTAACCTTAGTAACCTAGTCAGTAAAGTTCATGGTATGCTAATTGGTTTGACCGAAATGTTGCCTCCGATTGAAAAAGCGGCCACACCTTTGCAGCTTACATCTGAATAGAATCAAGTATTAAGGGAATATCAAATCAGTTGAAAGTGAATAAATACCGAAACCAAAATGATTATTAAAAGCAACTAGTAACTCCGTCAGCCTCCTAACATCATAACAGTGATTTTGTACCTAAAACACACACATATTTTAACATGCCAGCATCATTGTGTAAATTGTTAAGATTTTTCGAACCGTATACTAAATTTGCTGTCTTGGTTTTTGTAAATTGCTCGGATAAAAATTAACAAATAGTGACATTAAATTATGCTTTGCTCATTGAGGATAAATAAAATATCACTTAAAAGTTTTAACTGGTTTTTTTCCTGAGAGTTGACGAGAATAAACACTGCATGTGTTGTGTATGTAAATAGTTGTAAACTCACATAATGTTGTTATTTTCAGGTCACGTGGCCAGACTGCTGATGGCCATAAAACACCTGAGGAATCCGACTGATGGTAATAACGACTTATTAATGTGTGTTACACTTTCTTTATCTCATTAACATACAGGGAAAAGGCATGAGGGGTACGTGATAAAAGACTCATATTGTGTGTGTGTGTGTTTCCGAGATTACAAATTATCATAAGATGTATATATATAAAAGATGTATTTTAATTGTATATTGAACAACCCCTGTATTAGTAACAACCCCTGTATTAGTAACAACCCTATCAGTTTGACAGATGTCTGGGGAATTCTTCTAACAAAGCTACGTTTTCCTGAAATCTCAAAATTCTAAATAATTTATAATAACCTGTTTTCCGCCATTGTGGTATAAACATCCCCCGGGGAAAAGAAATTTAGAAGCTCTGTGTTTATTTTATTGGGAGTATCTTTAAAAAAACATAATTTTTAGGTATTAAATCTGGGGAAATTGGAGTTCGAACCCCTGTTGCGCCCCTCACCTACACATGCCGCTGTCCTATGCTACATTATGATCCTCTAATGTATATCTTACACACTTTCTTTTGCTTCGTCTTAAAAATGACATGGACATGTGACATTTTAATATTTAGTCATATCAGTCCATAGCCTCGGAAATTCAACTTAATTAGTAACTGTATTTTTTAATCCGTATGATACAACACACGCAGATTGATACTATGTAAATTAATCGCTGGCCAGAGCGAGGTGGAGGAATTTCACCCGATATTAGGCTGCTAAATCTCCAACACCGATCGGAGCGAGGCACATGACAAATCTGAGGTTGTAAATTGAATATTTTTCAACCAAAATGTTTATGCGTAGGCGAATCGGTTACCATGGAGATATGGTTCATTGTGAATGTTGTTCATGTTTCAGAGGAACTGAAGCGGATAGAGGTGAAGAAGCAACTCAGCTCCACCGAGTGTTATGAGATAGAACAGATAAACCAAGAGGAGAACTTTTTCTGGAGGGAACTCACGGACGCATGTCTCAAACCAGGCTCCATCGCCTTCGGCCACAACGAGGAACTCAAAGGTAGTTACCAAACAAGAATTTGGGAAAATAAACATTGTATTCACCAATTGTGCTGCTCATGACAGTGAAACTGTTAAATTGGTGGACAGACAGACAGACAGACGATTTTATCCTAATTTGTCATAAAACCCCATAGCCAAAGGTCCAAGAGAGAGGCGTGACTATATTACTCGATCTGCCTTTAATTTTTCTTCTTCATAGAACTGCTATTCCCGAGCAACTGAAGAGGGCTTCCCTTAATTTCTGCATGGATCGTTGTTTGACCGAAAAGCATAAACGTCCTCTTTCTTCAAAGTGGAGGGGGTGTAATATTTTGGAAATAAAGATATCTCTGAATACAGTCGTATATTGTTGTAGCAGAACAGAACTAAATACACTTGACTATCGACACCACGTATTATACGGATATACTAGGGTTCTACGTAAGGGTACACAACATTGATTTATATGACAGAATATTGACTTGACTCACTTCTATTACAATGTGATTATGTTTTAGAGAAACTTGGTGAATTGAGAAACAACTTTCTGGGGATATCCGCCGTCGCTAACACGTTATGGCTGATCCTCCTCACAACTCTGGCTTCTAAGAGTGAGCTCAAAGTGAGCGGCACGGATCCTGTCGGTATGTCATCCAACTTTTCTAGAGTCTGGCAAAAGGATTTGTAGATATATCACATAACACAATATAGTATTGCACATGTGATGAAAAACACGTGACACAAAATAGAACTGCTCACGTGATACCACACCACGTGACACAAGGTAAACGTCCCCATGTGATATTACACCACTCGACAAAGAACACCTCCCATTTGGATGTCACATCACGTAAAAAAGTTATACCCCCATGTGACGTCACACCACGTGAAGAAAGTTATACCCCCCCTGTGTATCGTCACATCACGTGACATTAAGTTTAAAAACCAGCACACGAAATCACATCACGTACCACAAGATATATCCCCACTCTGTTTTAGCTTGATATACTGAAAGCATAAAGAAACGCAGGGTAAGCATTGGGGGTGGTTTAGTGTTATGTTTTGAAATGCTATATGCAATATGTTGATATAAGTATAAAAAATATATTTAATAAACAAGTTATCAAACATTCTTTAGATTTTGACCGATGATTCATGAGTAATTGAAGCACATTTGACGGTACCACCCAATATCGCAAAGGTGAAATCGACTGACACGTCAGTATCTCGTATGACCCCGACCCCCCTCTCTCTCGTGCATCTGTCACAGTCCCGATTCTCTTATGCATGGAGTTCATCAGTGCATTTATCTGATTTGGATATTGTTCCACTCTTCTAACAAGGCAGTCCTTAGTTGGTCGAGAGTAGTGGGGGCATTCCGACGCCCCCTTACCTTCTTGTAAAGGTCGTCCCACAGATGTTCGATCTTGGACAAATATGGACTGTACGGCGGCCATTCGAGTGGGTTAATGTTGTGGTTTGCGAAAAGTCTTGACAAACTCTCGCAGCATGGGGCCGGACAGCATCATGCTGGAAAATTGTGTGATGCTGTTGCACAAGCGGAACTGCAACCGGGCGAAGAATTTCGTCACTATATCTTACAGCGGTTAAATTATCGGCTACCACAAGCAACGGCTACTTGAACCCGTGAGATATACCTCCCCAGAACATAACCGAGCCACTCCCCAAACCTATCCCTCTCAAGAACGCAAGCGTCGGCAAAGCGTTCCCAGCGACGCGACTATCCGGATGAAAAAGGGTGAACCGGAACTCATCTGTGAAAAAGACCCGTCTCCATTGCTTCATTGGAAATCGTCTGGGAGCATGTAACGCCCACCAAGCCAAACGCCCCGCGCTACGCGCACGAGTGAGAGGCAGACCAATGTAAGGATAACGAGCTCACAGACCAGACTCGCGCAATCGGTTCCTTACAGTTCTCGGGTGAATGTGACGATTATTACTGCCTATTGTATTAATAGCGATTTCAGTGACAGTAACGTGGCGATTACGCAGGTGGGCAAGACGAATATCCCTGTCTTGACGTCGCGTCGTTACACGCGGACGTCCCGATCGCGGTTAGTCGGCAGCCCTTCCGGTGTCCCTTAGACGACGGACAAGACATTCTATGGTTGAAACATTCACACGGAACTGCATAGCAACCGTTTGTTGCCTTTGACATTACATTAGCAATGGTATAGCCTAACCCTTCTGAACTTCCGCCAGCCTTACCATTATTGCAGGAAAATCAGATTGACAGTAAAGAGTAGAAAGCGATGTGTATACCTCAAGGAGTGTCAAGTGTGATGACGAACTTGTCATCATTATTTCTTTTTCTTTTTGCATTTTAAGACTTCCATTATGTGGCCCGGTATATTACACGGTTGAGTAACTTTAGACACTGGTTTCAGTGCCCAGTGACCAAGATACTCCTCTGACCGGTTTTCATAATTTTAGACCAAGCAGTTTGATAGTTATTGCATATACTGTTACCCTGCGTTTCGTCATCCTTTCAGTACATATTCACATCAACTCACGGACACACATATGTTTCTGTTTCAGGATTGGTTTTCCTGACAATTTTCGGATTTCTCCTCGTGCTGCAGTTTTTGTGTATGCTGGTTCACCGACTGTCGACATTTGGACATTTTTGTGCGCGCGCACCCTACAGATTTGGTCATCAGTACAACAGTTCATGGCGATTTTCAGATCGTAGCCTCGGTTTGAGTTTGAGTGACGAAGACAGACAGGCTCTCATTGATGCTAAGGAAGGCGATAAGAAAATCAAAGCTCGTCTGGTGGCCCGGAAACGAAACAAAAAGAGGCAAAATGTATCTATATTGGATGAAACACAACATTTACTCAAAGATCCGCATCATACGTCATACTTATAGACGTCGATAAGTAATACAATATTTGTTTATGTGACCTGTATCTCGTACGGCGGTTTCCGGACAATAACTGTCGCCTGGGGGTGAACACATGATATTATTTGTGCACATGGTCATCATGAGGAAGACATGTTTGTGATTGCTTTTCAGGTAAGCAGGTCAACGATCACGTGAATTGTTTCTAACAATATTGGTTAACATTCATTAAATTTTTGTTTTGTTCATATAGAACGATCATGTTCATGTGGTTTCATGTGTTCCTTTGAATAATGGATACTTGATATTATAGTAAGTTAAAGCAGACGTGATTTCCTGTTACTAAAAATAGAATGTTTATTTTCGTGCAATATTTTCATACCTTGGGAGCGACCATGTATATTATTGGTAAATTGTTTAGTTTGGAAAAAGGGAAACTTTTGACTGATTTCCGATACAGAAGTTCAGGGTGATTTGGGCAGTTACTAAAACAGAATTTAGTTTCCGGGCAACAGCTGCCGACCGGCGTGTTCGGAGGTGATCAGGCCAACACTGTCCACACAATTGTGTAGTAGCGGATCGGTACCATTTCATCCTTCAGCCCTTTCGTCTTTAGCCCTCAAAGGCCTTTCTCTAAGGTTTCATGATTAAATATCAACGGATGACAGGACGAAAGGATGACATTTGTTCGCGAAAGGATGGTGATCAAATTGAAAATGAAATCAAAAGTGCAAGAATTGGAAAGTGTTGAGTTTCTTTCTTTCCGCATTGAAAGGATGAACGGAAGAAAAGGCAAAAACAAACCACCGTGTATGCTTGTCATTGCTTTGAACTAAATCAAATGTCGTGAGATCTGTCATTGAAATTAGTGTCGTGTAAAAAGCCATAATACCAAAAGCATTACTGATGAAGGTTATCATGCCCTTATTTGGTGTGTTGTTTGGTAAGCATTACTGATGAAGATTATCATGCCGTTATTTGGTGTGTTGTTTGGTAAGCATTACTGATGAAGGTTATCATGCCGTTATTTGGTGTGTTTTTGGTAAGCATTACTGATGAAGGTTATCATGCCCATATTTGGTGTGTCGTTTGTTTTAAAGACAAGAATTTCTTTGGTTCATATGTTGACTATGAGGAGGGGATGCTTTCTATTACGTTAGAGTGAAGAAGGTCAAATATGTGATTTGTATGCAAATATAGAATTTTTGTTCCCATGAAATAACTTATTTCGTTGAAAGCGAACATGTCATGTTTGGTATATTGTTTGTTATGAAGAGAGAGGATGTTTTTATTGATTTTGATGTCAGTATGTCAAAGATTGCGGTATGTATTACTTACCCTAACCGTATAACTTAAAAATAGAATTTCGGTTCCCGGTACTGCCTTGTCTTCCAGCAGTTTTTTTATATATATTTAAAAAGAATGTTAAGCTTTGCTGTTTGAGGTTCAACACTTGTCATAGTTGTCTAGATTTATAAATAGATGCCTGACAAAGGCTTCATATCATTGTCCTACTGAACAGGTTTAACATGATACTTTTACAGTAAGAACGCTATTCGCAAGATAGTAAAACCCCAAAGTGCTGACCAAGGAGGGGGCATACATACCAATGTTCTAGGGCAGGGACAACGAACTTATAAACCATTTGCTGATTGGTTGATTTGGTTCTGCGAGTCAAGTTGTTAGAGTCGTCTTTGATATGATGATTAAATTGTGCGAGTGGTTTTTGCGACTTATTGGTTGATTCAATTCTGCTAGTCTTTGCTGATTGGTTGATTTAATTGCGAGTCGTTTGTGATTGGTTGATTTAATTTTGTGCAAGTCGTTTTTGATTTGATAATACATTTAAGTTGTGAGAGTCGTTTTTGATTTGATGATTAAGTTGTGAAAGTGGTTTTTGATTTGATGATTAAGTTGTGGGAGTCGTTTTTGATTTGATGACTAAGTTGTGAGAAACGTTTTTGATTTGATAATTAAGTTGTGCGAGTCGTTTTTGCGACTTATCTGCGTTTGGTCAAATCAATAGGGCGAGTCCGTTCCTTGCAGGGAGATATTCTGTTTTATTTACTATATTTATGTGCCAGATGAAAAAGCCAGGGACCGTCCTCAGTCTTCCATTATTTAACATTAAATTTATAAAACAAAGGAATTGATGTTCATACAACGTAAAATTACAATATTTGCCGTGGTTTTATGACTCACTATGATGATCGAGCGGTATGCCGTTAACAATCAAATTAGCGTATGCATGGGTCCATTTTTATTTGATGTCCAGAACTAAAAATTGTTTTTATTTATTTATTATAATAATAAATACTTTTAAACTATTGTTCTTTGTTGTGCAGTTTTATACGACGAACTTTAGTAAACTTAAGGTCAAGCTAAAGCTTCCGGCAAGTTAGTCACTGTGAGCTCCTCCAGGAACCCTACACCCCATTTATATCTGTGATAACCAATACCCAGATGGAATAATATCGGTCTATGTAGAAGATCTGGCCGGAACAGTTACGGATTGTTGTTGACCTGGGATGTCGAGACATTACATAGGAACTATATATATAGTTCTAGCACATCCATTAACAGCGTTAGGGAGAGGGCTGATGCCCCTATAGCCCTTTTTGTCGTATTTTTGGGGTAATGTATCTATTTTCTTTTCCTGCTGTAATATATATATGATTTGTTTGATATGAAACATAGATTCAGGTACATTTGTATTGTATTTTGTTTGAAGATTAACAAAACTTGGCCGGCCAGCTCTCCTAATTGACTCAATATATAAGAAAAAGATGCACTTTGTTAGTTTTCATAACATACTGGTCTTGACTTTAGATTTTTAACAAGACTTTTAACTACTACAACCTTTCATATATCTTATCAATACCAAATAATATTTTACCAACTTAGCCTTCCATGCTAACCACTTATAGGTCAAATATGATCACAAGTAAAAAAAAAAAATCAAAGCAGTTGTTTCTTGAACTGGAATGACGGTCAATGTCGTCTACTGGAGCGATGTTGGTAGCCCTCCTACCGTGCTAACTAATTACAAATGTCCAATACCGCGACCCTCATGTTTGTTAACTTTGAAAGAAACCAGATAAGGGTCCATTACTTTTAACAAATTTATATCTATTCAACCTAATCGTCAAATACCATGGCCATAGACCTTCCGAAACATAAGCGGTCATTAACAGATTTTAGCATAGTTTACCACAACCCTTCATTGAAGGTCAAGGTTATTCATTTCGATAACTTTGACAGACCTCAAACCTGGGTCATATATCCTGACCCTCTCTCTTCGAGAACTTGAGGATACAGTGTATTAACATCCGAGACCTAAAAATGGTCTAGGTCATTTATTTTACTCCTAGATAGCTCTCCATTCCAATTACCTATTGATCAAACAGCATGACCTTCTTCAACGTTAAACGATATTATTTAAATATCTGTGACCTTGAAAGTTGTTTAATGTAATTTTCATTCCTAGTCAATGCTGGAATCCATCAAAACAAGCTAACAATCAAATATCATGATCAAACATTTTGATTCTTCAGAAGTCTTTTATAAGTTTTCAACATATTTGACCTTTGCGACCTCGGGATTGCGTTAAGGACATTCCTGTCGACAATCTGTGTAATGCTCAGTGGCAGGAAGCTACCAGACAAATGATGTATTTTATACGCCTTTTGAATCTTCAGATGAAGTCATTTGAAGATGCCGACATATTTGACCTCTGTGACCTTTAGAAGTATGTCAGATCATTTTTGTTCCACACCTTTATTGAGCTCCCCCAAAGAAAGCTACAATCGACATACCATGACTCTAGGGATTTTGGTTCTTTAACATCAGTTGTTCAAAAACGTTGATGAACAGATGGATAGACAGACGATGGACGACAGATCCTGTGCCATGGTATTCCGTCTTTGCATATTGCAGAGTTATCTGCACTTGTGAGCAGGTATTGATTGTTACGTCATTTGTTTGTGAGAGTAACGTCATCAATTTTTGAGAAAACGACGTAATTTTCTCGCACAAACCAATGACGTAACAATCAATACCTGCTCACAAGTGCAGATAACTCTGACAACAAACAATCCCAAGAGAAGATAACTCTGCAATACGCAAAGACGGAATAAGCTCACCCCCGTACCTTTGGACCAAGGTAGTTAAACATGCCGGGTTATGTTTAGAAGTCCTTCACGTGTTTGACAAGACAAGAGAACAGACAAGAGAACAGCTAAGCGTATACGACATTCAGGTTTTATTGTTTTACTTTGACATGACGTGATCCCAGAAGAGTTCCGATACCGACAGTTGCCACTTCCAGAAAACAGAAACCGCATGAAACAGTGCTAGGAGGCTGTCCTTCCTTTCAAACCAGGTAAACTACAAATCAAGTTTCTCTACATAGAATATTAATAATAATCAATAATAATAATCCAAATTCCAACTTCAACAAAAAAAATATTGACATAAATATTGCACGCCAATTCGTAATTTGACAACTCTCACTCAGTCAGAGATACGCAAGTTTAGAAATATTTCAAAACAAAAATTACAGTTTAACCTTCAACATCTCCCCGATTCACACACAAACAATGGGTGTCTGATGGGTCGTAATGCAGAAGCTGTCATTGGTTACCGATCAGATATCCAGTAAGCAACGGTAAGAGGCATATTTGCCAAGGTAAAAACTGCTTCAGTACGTCGACATATAGGCACGGCCAATAATTTCAGATCAGATCCAGACTCTTATGTTACAGCTTACCCCCGAGTCACTGTGACCAGGGACATTACAGCTTACCCCCGAGTCACTGTGACAAGGGACATTACAGCTTACCCCCGAGTCACTGTGACCAGGGACATTACATCTTACCCCCGAGTCACTGTGACAAGGGACATTACAGCTTACCCCCGAGTCACTGGGACCAGGGACATTACATCTTACCCCCGAGTCACTGTGACCAGGGACATTACAGATTACCCCCGAGTCACTGTGACCAGGGACAATACAGCTTACCCCCGAGTCACTGTGACCAGGGACAATACAGCTACAGTTCTTCCGTGTATCAGTGACACAGGTCAATCATAGACCTCCCAGCTATCACGGACTACAGAATAAAACTGGATAAGTTGGGTGATGCTTTAACTCATTCACCCCTTAAGACACATTTGAGCTCTTCGAGTTCAAAAGTTGGTATAGTTCATTATGAAATTACAGGGGTGAACGAGTTAAATTTCTTATTTTGAACAAGGGTTACCATGGGGTCATTCACTGTCATCTGGTGTTTTTTGTGTAATTCCAATTTTTTAATTTAAAAAAAATAACCTTCCAAATTGGTCCAGTTAACGACAGAGGGACCACTTAGCCTTTTTTCAGTTCAAAATTTATTCATGCTAACATTTTTAGTAATGTTTTTGCAACATTCCTTGGCAAAGACCTCACCTATTAGGGCTACAAAGAGAATACCTCTGCAGGGTTTTTCCCAATTTCCTTACAATTTTAAAGGTCAATAGGTAAACTATCAGGTTAATTGGCACAAACGAAGACTGAAAGTATTTAACAACATGATGTTCTCATTGTCATGAGAGTTTGATAATACGATTGGTCAGAAGATGGGTCACATGACTAACCCTGTGATTGGCCCCAAATCACTGTCTAGCCCACCGTCACATTTAGTTGGTGAAAAGTCAACAGTAAGCTTAAGCACATTCAATCTGGTATCCATGGCAAACATTATACAAATCACATTCTACAAATGTTCCCACAACTACTACACGCTAAACTGAACCAAAAGACAGAATATTCAGGCTGCCGAGGGGAGAAACGATGGGATTTATTTAAAGGTTGAGATAAGGTCCAATGCTAATTTAACAGACCTCAAACTGAACCCCACATCAAGACTGCAGAAGTGGTTTTAACGGAGGATTCGGTAACCATAGTAATACATAACACAACATAATATTGTAGTATCGTTTCAAACAAAATGCACCGAGTTTTTCAACTATCCATGATCCTTAAACCTGTTGGTAATCCACACTGATCCCCAATTACCTGCATCTGATTGGGGAAGAAATGGCATCAAGAATCTAAAATGAAATTAAAAGTAAATAACCCTTCTTCCCCAGCTCTGCTTGCCAAAGTGTGTTATGGGTCCCACTCCCTAGCCTCCTGAATACACATGTCTGATTGGATCAGTTCATTTTGTCGGTAGGTAGGACAATATAGGTCCAGAAAAACTTGCTGTAATTTATGTTACATAATAAAATTCATATTAAATATGTATATATACTGATATAAAACGTTTTATAAATAAACTGGGAAAACAAAGACTGGCGGCAACACAGATCAACCTAAGGGGAGAGCACTCCACATGACGACCAAGTCTTTGTCCGGGACGGATATGACGCCAGCACATCACATACATCGACAGACAATGACATTATAACCTACACTTAAATGATCTAAATTATCACTAACAAAAGGTGATTTTAAATTGCTTCCCACTTGAACGAGAAACAAATGCCATCCCGATATCTTTGAGACAAGGACGTCGTGTTTACTTTAGTGCCAACAATATAATATATACGTTATTTACCGAAAAGTGATGTCACTGGCAAGCCACAATGTCGTAGTGACGTCACTGTCAAGGATAAAGAAATTTAGTCATGTCTTGATAAAATGTGTGAATGAGTTTCTCCAAAAGTATTGACATCTGTTCAAGTTCTGAGGCAATCATAGTTCCCTACAATGAATTTCATATCCCCATGATACCTGTTATATTTAGTAAAACTAACCTTCCACATAATTCTCAAGTGCTTTTGAACTTATTCCTGATACAGACTATTAGATAATGAGGGGGTCCTAGTACTATTACAGAAGTGTGTATCTCAATATTTCTATGCCAAAACATTAAATTTAGGTTACAAGACCTAGTATACGTGTCATTGGGTTGTCTCCCTTTGGGTCGTACACTAGGCCTCCTGCCTCGGCATTTGAAAAATCCCACACTATTATGGGAATAGCATTAAATTTAGGTTAGATGTCTGTAATGATATACCGTAAACCCGAGAGATGTCTTTGTGAAGTTTGATCAGGGTGACGATACGAGTGGCCAGTATGAGTTTTGGTTATACAGGGTCACTAGTCTTGGGCTCCAATCAAAATCTCTCCAATTATTCACCCAGTGATTGGACTCGGCATTCATATATTGCCATTTCCAAATTTTTCATAATTTTGCATCAATTTGAAACTAGTGTACGTATTACACCAAGTTCGCCGATCTAATTTTTCTTTTCTATTTTCTTATTGTACACAAAATCAGGAACGTCTTTCCGACAATATATGACTTGGTGTTTTATTACAAGATCAGATGTACAACTACTTTCAGGGAAATTTAAAAGTAACACTCAATATCTGCTGCAAATCGACAATAGCAAACATCAAATGATTGGCTCTATTCAAATAAAGGAGATGTAAAATGCCTAAAGTTTTAACAGCTGTTTCACCAAATTTCTGCGTCATCCTACACAGTGCCATAAAACACACAAGAAATTACCACTTTGAGAAATATAAAGTTTCCGTTTGCATTCCATTTCAATCAAAAATCATTAACCTCAATATCACTGGGTGGTTTTTTTTAGATAAAGGAATTAACATTGTTAGACATCTCTGTGCCCACTCCTCCATCAATCTACTGTTAGGTTGAGAAGTAAAACAAATATGTCTTTACTAAATCACTTTCACTGTCCAATGTAATCAATACATGATTTAGCTTAAGCTCCATACAGTAAGAACCCTGTACATCAGGATCATACTCCAATCAATAATCATTAATTTGTTACAAGCAACATGATTGTATAAAAATCTTCTTAATTAAAAATTAAATGTTTTTTAAATGCATTATTCAATAGGAAGAGGCAAGACTATCAACAGATACCTTATGATTCTAAGTACTGTTTTCCATTCCAGGCAACGCCACAACGTAAACTGTGTTTACATTTCACTAGTGTTTACAACGTAAACTGTGTTTACATTGCACTAGTGTTTACAACGTAAACTGTGTTCACATTGCACTAGTGTTTAAGAACTCTGAATTACTGATGTAACAATATCAAGGGTCCTTCTTCCTAAAACATTCTCATGCTCCAGTATGGATTTGTGCTCAAGTCTAATTTCTTGTTCTGGTTATAAATTCATCAAAAAAATCATTTTGTCAATGATTTGGAAAAATTTTGAAGAGACCTACACTGAAACCTGTTTTCAGTGTTTACAGTTGACTTTTTGATCGTTTGACATGATTTAAGCGAGTTACAAGAAAGCTACTACTTAGTAGTGTTTACCCAAGATCACTTTATACTCAACTTTGTAACTTCCTTCAACTCATTCACACCTAAAGACACATTTAAACTCTTCCAATTCTAAGGTTGGAGTAGTTCAATATAAAATTTTAGGGATGAATGAGTTACAACACAATTAACCATTCTGTTGGGACCAAGTTACTATTATAACAAGTTTGACTTGTAGACTTGAGAATAAAATAGTCCTTAAGTTTTCTGACATGCCAAATTCATTGCTCATTCCACTGCAATGCTTTGCAGACCAGGCAATGTAAAGTAGTATTTGAAACTAGAAACCATTCTGACCAGAATTGAACGACTCCCCCGTCAGACATCACATGAAACAGTACTGACTTCGGACATCACATGAAACAGTACTGACCTCGGACATCACATGAAACAGTACTGACCTCGGACATCACATGAAACAGTACTGACCTCGGACATCACATGAAACAGTACTGACCTCGGACATCACATGAAACAGTACTGACCTCGGACATCACATGAAACAGTACTGACCTCGGACATCACATGAAACAGTACTGACCTCGGACATCACATGAAACAGTACTGACCTCGGACATCACATGAAACAGTACTGACTTCGGACATCACATGAAACAGTACTGACCTAAACTAACAAGGGGACATTTGTGGCATGGAAAAAAACATTCTTCATTTAGTCTTTCTTATCAATAGTACTGTCACAACTATTTCTGCTGACTTGAGTGATTTGTATATAAAGGTCGTCAGCTGATACATCAACTTTAACTGTTGAGTAGCTGTTCTCTCTATAACGACCCAGTCAGAACCACTATACAGATTTATCACAAAGCTTAAGAAAATGTATTAGTATTTTGAATTGAAGGTGATGATCTAATGACCCAAAATCAATAATTATCATAATGTTGCATCGTACACCAATTGTAGAAAACTAGGTGTGGCTGTTGAAGGACTTGTGCCACTCCCCTACGGGTCTAAGGTGTGGCTGTTGAAGGACTTGTGTGGGCCACTCCCCTCCAGATCTTCCACTATGTCTCAACTCGGGCATCTGTTTTTGTACAGTATCATCAACACTTATAAAATACCAAAAACTGAACAATATTGTTTTCATACATTGTACATCAATCTATCGGAGTTCACCTTGAATACGTCGGTCTACAAGTCATACCCCTCCCTTGTGGAGCACTGAAATGTTGGTGAAATCACACAACATACATTTTCAGTATCTTTAAAAAGTTGAATAAGTGAAGAGCAAAATTTGTTTAAATGATTTCATTTGAGTAATCATTTCTGTACAGCTGTAGTATTGCAGCGAAATGAAAATTTAATTAAAATGAAAATTTGATAGTATCGCTGTCTATGGCGACACAGGCAGACAGACATCAGTAAGTGCTATGTAATATATATATATATATAATAATAATAATAATAAAAAGGTTTCCATGTGAGACTCGTTAAACACAACCCTTATAACACAGTAAACACGTGATCAACACCTAGCACTCATGACAATTTTGTTTTTTGCGCTACCTGCTTGTTGTGAGTTTTGAGACGTTGCGTAGTAGTGGACAGCTGATCAGGGCTCTATATAACAAACCTGGCATTTCTATAATCGCACATTTCAACGCTGTCAACCTTTTTAGTGGCTATTTAATAACACAATAAAAAGATTACAAGCAAACATTCTGGTTTGGGAAATTCCCTCTCTTCTTCTACAATAAGATGTTAATTTTTTTCAAGGAAAGAACCCAGTGACCTCCCTTTATCTGAAGCAATCTATGGTATGTGAAATTAAAATTGCACGAAATCTACCAAAATGTCCACAAACTCAGCCCAAGTTTGCATAACAATGACCGAATAAGGACCTACTGTTTGAATCACATAGGCAAAACAACCAACGCTTACATATTAGGATCAGCACATTTTCACATCTGTCTTCCAATAAAAATCGATTATTTTCATCAAACCCTGTCCATCGCAGTCCCAATACAAACGTTTATGGGACTACATAATAAAGTAATTGCGTAAAGAGACTTTTGTAAGATCTGCCCTCATCTAACAGGAGTTATTCCCCTTGTCTGTACATGCTGCACCCCTACCGCACCAGAGTGGGAGCCAACAAGCAAGACTGTAAACAGAGTTGTCTCCCTTCACCACCGAGGCGACCCTTCTGGGTTGGTCTCGCTACAAGAGCTCACCTTTTGTGATTCCCTTTGTCCCAACATTGGACTCGTCCACTTACTGGGGTGTGTTAATAAATTGCACAGACAGACCTTTTTCACACTTGTAACAGTTCGCACACGAGCTCAGCCTTGCACACATACGCACACTGTACATACTTCAGATCATGAATATATGGGCGCCACAATATGTCAGCCTCCAGGACAGCAATCCTTCTGTTCTTTTACATCAGAGTCTAATGCCTTTGAAACCATTTGCTCATTTTATTGAAAACTATTACATGGAATCAAATATGACAGATATGGTTTTTTTAATCAGATGTTAAGCGAGGGTACTTCATCATCAGATGATGTTAAAACCGAGACGAAGTTATCAGATATATTTTTCAAGGTCAAGAAGCCTTAGAGATTGACAAATTGCTTGTCGCCATGAAATTATATATATACACATACACACACACTAAATTTATATGTCTATACATGTATACATAAACATATGTATACCTATATACACATATATAAATATACACTACATCACCCTAGCTCAGTCTCAAGCAATACAAAACAAATATATATATAAAAAAAACTATAAAAAATCATATCCATCTCTCAGCCAAGACGCACATAGTGAAACATGAACCAAGCAAGTCTAGACATCGGTGAATAATGTCCGTTTTCTATAGTAGTAGAGGATAAAGGATTCTGTCCTAACTAAACAGTGGTGAACACAGCCACGCCTTGTCAAACAAACGCCAGGTCTCCCTCTCTACCCTCCAACCCTGTGATCATAGCAACCCTGTGATTATAGCAACCCTGTGATCACAGCAACCCTGTGATCATAGCAACCCTGTGATCATAGCAACACTGTGATCATAGCAACCCTGTGATCATAGCAACACTGTGATCATAGCAACACTGTGATCATAGCAACCCTGTGATCATTGCAACACTGTGATCATAGCAACCCTGTGATCATAGCAACACTGTGATCATAGCAACCCTGTGATCATAGCAACACTGTGATCATAGCAACATTGTGATCATAGCAACCCTGTGATCATAGCAACACTGTGATTACAGCCACCCTGTTCTCACTAGTTCGCTTGCGATCTTTCAGGTGAAAATGGTTCTTTACCAAGCAAGTGGTACCCAGAAATGATATTATTATAAATGAGTTGGTTTGTTTATCCTTTCACCACTGTAGACCATAATGGACTTATCCATATCAATGCATGGTAGAGTCTACAAAAGTTACATAGGGGTGAAAGGGTTAAGGGTAAGCACAGGGAGACCTGCCTATGATTTGCTTTGGTCGTAGGTGTTAATAAATTACATATGCACACACATACCATTACATACAAATGACATGACACGTTTCCAGTCTGGAAAGTGTACGGTAGGCATTCAACCTTGTGATAGGCCGAGTGGATACACGCTGCTTATACCACCTGTCCCACTGCTGCCCAAATCAGTGTACAGAAACTCACCAACTGATTCCAGCTCCCTCTGGCTACAGGGGCCAGCCAGTCCCTGTACGGAGGTCAGCTGGTCGACCTTAGCTAAACAAGAGGAGTTTGTAACATAGCCTTCCGTTTGGGAGAAATACTACCAATTTATACTGTAAACACACTCCACATTGAAATGTAACATACTGTCAATGATAAGCAACACGTAAGAGAATTCATCTCCCCTCCCCCCTTCATTAAATAAAATCAAAATGTTCACAGCTGTAACCTGGGAAGTTGGGATTCATGCGTTGCCACCTTTTAGAAAGTTATCCTATTGATAAAGTTTAGAGATGTAAAACTAAAATGAACAAAAAAACAATCAATATTACTTTCACTAAAATGAGCATGGTTACAGCATATGGTTGTGTAATATCAGAGTTGTCTCCCCATCCTAGGAGTTATTCCCCCTGAGACACAAGGAGACATCCACGTCTCTGTCCAAAGCCTCTTGTAAATCTAAGGACACCTCCAACTGCTCTGATCTATTCAGGTTGTCAATGTTTAATTGTCGCACGTTTCTACTCCAATGTTATTGGTTCCCGTTTTATAAAACTATGAGAAATAAAAATTTCCAATCAAAATAGTTATCAGTAGCATGTGCACTCAGAAATCAACGGAGAACGAAAGTGGCACAGAGCTTCAATCAAGGTGGCATCCGACTCGGATCAAACATGGCAGTTTGTGTTCATTCATCTAGCAGCGAATAAAGCCAGTATGTTTTAACTCCTTCTGTACCCGACGTTCTAGCACAAACTCAAAATTCTTACAACACATTTCATTGATGCTATATGGTAGCTATATGGTAGCTATATCGTAGCCAGTGCCGCCGAGAGCTCGTTTGGCTGACGCTAAGGGTGGTACTGAAAAAGTTGAGCCAAACCGGTCACTGTAAAATCTGCCAAACAGTTTTCTGATTCTGAACACAAAAACTGCCTATCAGACGAAATTGCCTAATCGCTGTCGGCTATTAAAATGACATTTTTTGTATTCAAAACTGTCAAACTGGCGATGTCCATCTAGAAAAAAAACTATTGCCCAAATCTCTCCGTACTGAATGCTCTCTTGGAGGTCCAGTTTAAAAATTGCGATGTCTAACTGAACAAGGGTGGAATACGAGCCCACCACTGGAGTCTCATCACACTGCCAGAGTTAACATAAAACAGCTGTACAGGTCTTTCCAACCATTAAAAAATTTGTTCTGCTCACAAATGAAATTGGTAATACATCCACATGAAAACTGCTGCAAGACTGACCGACGCCGAGATTCGCCCGTTTTAACTGGTCCGTTGGTGTTGGTTGCCACGCTGTTGACCGCTGGTCCTATATACTGGTCACTTGACGATGCGTTAAACTGTTGACAACTGTCACAACAATCACAGGTTTTTTTTAAATAAAAAGTTTTTTTTTTAATTTCTAGCACGCATTCAAAATGGCCACCTTGTATTGTGTTGGCGCTCCACCACACAGATAGCAGATGCCGTTACACTCCTTCAGCTCCTCGTGTGCTTCTCTCCAATGGTTGTCATCTCCCAAAAACATGACACATTGCCTTGTTTAGACCTGGTATACAGCACTGAGCCAGACCGAGCAGGCACACACCACCAGAAAACCAGTTTTCTTTTAAATGTGTATATATATATATATGTATATATATGTATAAAACCGTTTTAAATTAAACCGACTTTTGAATTGTTAATAAAACCGGTTCAAGATAAAACCGGCCGTTACAACACCAGCTCGACGATCACCCGGCCCACAATCAACCAATGGACCGGCTCGTAACAAATGTGTGTTAAATGTCGATCAAGCCAAGGCCACGTGTCAGAGATGGTAATTGGATGAGGTCAGAGGTTACTAACTGGGGTCAAAGGCCACCAGAATAGTCTCCTCCCCTTATTAATGTACACCAATGAACTGTCTATGCAGGTGGGCGTACCTGACCTTTGACCTGCTGGCAAAGGCCATGCTCACACTAAGTTGTATTCCTTTAGATTTAGCTGTAGAATGGTATCCTTCACAGCCGCAAACACAAACCTAATGTTCTCCGTATCTGAAACATAAACCAACACAGATTTAGTAAATCCAGAAATGTTTGAAATATTAATTATCTTTGAAACTCAAGCCTAATGGTAAAGGAGTGCAAACAAATATATATTTGGAAAGCTAGATTACTTCAACAGTCCATTTCCAGTTTTTAAAGATAGCTGTTCAGATCTATGGTCAAAGGTGAAGCTGTTTAATGAAAATCTTTTAGTACTTACAAAATCTCTGTTTTAATGAATGTTTTATAATCTGTCGACTGTAGATCAGTCTGTTAATAGGTATACATTGTGTATCTGTAACTAAAAACATGGATGGCTGCATTTATAGGTTAGTGTTGTCAACAAAGTCACTCTTTACACAACAAGAATCAGACATTTCACACTTGTACACATTCTGCTGCTTTTTAGATTGATCTGCATAATATCTATCTCTGCATTTTCATATCAGTCTCACAGTTTAAGACAAAAACAAATGTTTTGGAAATTTTGAATTAAATGAAAACTGGAAAATGTCACTCACACATTAACACCCATATAATAATTTATTTATTTATTTTTTTACGATTTTTGTAAAAAGTAATAAGCCTGATCAATATTTAGGTATCTTCATACTCGACCTTTGTTTCAAGATTGATCAAAATCTGTTTAGCAATAAAGTTTCTAGAGTGATGTGAATCGTTAGACAAATTTCTATAAATTGTAACGGTGAGTTTGGCCTCCACCCTGGAACACTGAAATGTGGATTCATCCAAGGCATATTCATATTTCACCTTTTTGGTTCAAAATCAGTAGGTTACTGAAGTTGCTGGAGCTATAACACTGAACCCAGTCATGATGGTGTAAACCAGTGTACACCTAATGTCTGTGCCTCCAATAAAATGGTAAAATTTTACAAAATTATATTTGGACACTCCTAGCATCCAAACCTGACAGTTCATGTTTCATGTATATACACTATCCCTTATGATCAGATCAGGGTATTCCGTCTTTGCGTATTGCAGAGTTATCTTCTCTTGGGAGCAAGTATTGATTGTTACGGCACTTGTTTGTGAGTGTCACGTCATCAATTTTTGAGAAAACGACCCAATTTTCTCACACAAACCAATGACGTTTCAATCAATACCTGCTCCCAAGAGAAGATAACTCTGCAATACGCAAAGACAGAATAAGACCAGCACGGCACTTGAAACATTAGACTGCAAACAAATTCAAGTCAACTGCAGTGACAACAAACTACAGGTTCGCAGGATCAGATTCGATGTTTGATCAGAAATTCCACAAGATCTTACCTGTTGCACACGTAAAATGTGAATAAATAATCTTGTCTGGATCAGGATTTAAATCCACAAACATCCGTAATATAAACTCGCGAGCCCCCTGGGCGTCCTTCTTTTGCCCTGCAATAACAAATCAAATTCATGTTTCTGGTTAACATCAACTGGGGCCAGGCAAGAAATTGCAAAACATTTCAAGTAGTCAATAAAATCAAAATTCACTTAAAAGACTCCATTAATAATTTTACAGTACAGGTTCACTTCTAAACTAGTGATTAGGATTATTGTCAATCCTTCCTTCCTGTAATATAACAAATTCTGTCTCAGAGCCCTTTCAAGGATTTCTCATTAGTCTGTTAACATATTTTATTAGATATCTTGGGACTCCCTAGGGAAAGTTACCAATGTGCATTACTGTATTACAGGTCGCCATCAGAGGCCACTCAATAATAAACATTAATATGCTCCCAACTATATTTAGATTGAAATGGAGCTTAACACAAAGACTTACCAAACAAATTTATCGTGAGATATAAATATAGATCACAGTGACATTTTTAAGGACCGGTATCGTACTTCACAGAACATATCAAAATATGAAGATTGATGACTTACACTTCTCGTTTAAGAGAAATGGAATTAAAACTCAAAGTGTTACAATGTTTGTACAGATGGGCTGACCACAGAAAAGTTGACACTTAACGCCCTCTCCACTGTGGTCAGTGAGCGGTCAACAATTACTACATTATGTGCACCTACCATCAAATTCTGGAAAATAGTCTACGAGGTGTGAGTGCATAATCTTCTCCTCAAGTAGGTCTTTTTTGTTGAGAAAGAGGATGACGGAGGAGTTCTGGAACCAGGGGTATGTGATAATAGTCCTAAACAGTGCCTTGGATTCCTCCATTCGATTCTAAAAAACAAAAGTATAATTCAAAATTTATACCACATTTAGTCAGTTGGGAGTCGAAAACCGCAACTGGAAACACAGGGTCATATCTTAGTTCACTGAAATCCTTCCTTCTGTAGATGTATATCAATTATTGTATGAACAGCATTCAGACTAAGACTATAACAGACTGAGTTTGTCACTTACATCATTATCAGACTAAGACTACAACAGACTGAGTCACTTACCTCATTATCAGACTAAGACTATAACAGACCGAGTCACTTACCTCATTACCAGACTAAGACTATAACAGACTGAGTCACTTACCTCATTAACAGACTAAGACTACAACAGACTGAGTCACTTACCTCATTATCAGACTAAGACTATAACAGACTGAGTCACTTACCTCCTTATCAGACTAAGACTATTATAACAGACTGAGTCACTTACCTCATTACCAGACTAAGACTATAACAGACCGAGTCACTTACCTCATTATCAGACTAAGACTTTAACATACTTAGTCACTTACCTCATTATCAGACTAAGACTATAACATACTGAGTCACTTACCTCATTATCAGACTAAGACTATAACATTCTGAGTCTCATACCTCATTATCAGACTAAGACTATAACAGACTGAGTTTGTCACTTACCTCATCATCAGATTAAGACTATACCAGACTGAGTTTGTCACTTACCTCGTTATCAGGTTAAGACTATAACAGACTGAGTTTGTCACTTACCTCATCATCAGATTAAGACTATAACAGACTGAGTTGGTCACTTACAGTACCTCATTATCAGACTAAGACTAAGACAGACTGAGTCACTTACCTCATTATCAGACTAAGACTATAACAGACTGAGTTGGTCACTTACAGTACCTCGTTATCAGACTAAGACTATAACAGACTGAGTCACTTACCTCATTATCAGATTCCACCAGAACCTGGTCGTATTCACTTAAGGCTACAAGAAACATGATGGACGTGACATTTTCAAAACAGTGGATCCACTTGCGCCGTTCAGACCTCTGGCCACCTACATCCACCATTCTGTAACGACAACGGAAATTAATCATACTACAACACCAACAGACCGTCACACATCCCTTCCTAGATACAACCTGCGACAGTGCAGCTTGAGAGGACAAAATAATAGTTATTCAGGTGTTCAATCTAACCATATTATCACAACCAAGAGTTTGCCTCCAAAACTGCTGAATCTCAACATCAAAAAAGTATTTCCAGTTTAAGGTTGGCAGTGGCTAGTAATCGTCGCTCATTGACACAGTGCATTTACAATTGAGGTCAAGTCTTTGACCTTTAGGATTTCTGTTCTTAAAAAAAAATGTTTTCAAAAACACATTCACATTTTAACAAATCAGAAGGTCAGAAGATATGTTTTATAGAGAAATGAATCTGTAGAAAGTGATCTAAATAGTAAACAAAGTTGGTGGTTACCCACATAGACACGTATTGAAGTGGTCAAGTGTGACCTTTGACCCTTTACCTTATCTTATAACCATCCAAATCTAACCATGAAAGAGTGTAGAAATTAATGTTACCCTTCTCCAGTTTAAATATAACTTTTTTTTAAATATGTTAAGAGGTTCAGGACACATCTCAAACTTTTAACTACAGATCTACTTAACAAAGCACATTACTATAGACTCGACTATACAACGAGGTGGGCAACATAAATATTACACTATATCTTTGTAACAGTTCAAGGACCGCCAACACCTGTGATAAAACCTTTCTAGAGATCATCACGATGTTGCAGCTGTCCAGTTCTGGTTAACCTGTGGTAGACTTACCTAAATATTATACTGTCCAGATCAAAAGGGTACTCTATAATGATATTGTAGCTGTCGAGTTCTGGTTAACCTGTGGTAGACTTACCTAAATATTATACTGTCCAGATCAAAAGGGTACTCTATAATGCCAGTCGTGGGAACCCTCACACGTAAGATGTCTTGCAATGTAGGTAGGTAGTTTGGTTCCGCAATCCTGTCCACTGCATCTAAGTAACTATTGAAAAACGAAATGTGTATGTTATAATATTCAGCTAATTAAGCAATTTCTATCGTAGTGAAAGCATTCTAAAACCATTTGCCTTATTTAACATCAATCAAATAAGATGTTCACCACGAGCTATGTGTCTACTCCCACGAAAGAGAAAGTAAGGTCAGAGCGGTCAAGCTGAAAGGTCAAGGTCACAGAAATGTTGTGCATCCGGTTCCTCTCATAATGGCATAGAATCATGTGATGGAGCTCGACCCTTCTTGCAGCACTGGGTTCATGACGGACTGAAATGCTATACCTTCACCGAGGACGTACTCCTATACAGACAAGGGTTCAACTATGTTTGTATGTCCCCCATACCGCTTTGTGGTGGGGCATAAATAAAGATCCTGTTAAAAAAATAATTTCAAAGGACCAACAGAACATACGTTTATGTAAATTTGAAATAGTGATCAAGTGGATGTGTACAAACTTGCCCCTCACCCTTGACTGAACACCGATCCAGTGGATGTGTACAAACCTCCCCCTCACCCTTGACTGAACACCGATCCAGTGGATGTGTACAAACTCGCCCCTCACCCTTGACTGGGAACTGTCAGGTCTTCTAAACATTTTCAATATTCACTTAAGAATTTCAGGTTGGGGTGTTTGAATTTTTCAAATATTTCCTCCTGTGTGCAACGGTGTATTACAACTATACATTGTAATTTAGCAGTTGATTTTTGTATAATCCTATAAATGGACACAAGGAGCTAGTACGGGACAGTCAGGGAGAACTCACTATTCCCAGGTTTTATAATACTCACTATTTGGCGGAGTCTGTGAGCTGATACTCTCTCCGCCGGTCGTAGCACTCCTGTATCCCCGCATCGGCCCACAGTGACAAGATGGCCTCCACCGACTGAGAGTCCAGTGTGGTTACGGTCTCGTAGTCAACTTGTCGAATCATGATCGCATTCTCCTGTAAACAGAAGTCAGAAACTGATGTGTTCTATTGCACTGTTGATTGGTTTCCCTTTTTCCTCGTCGGTTCTGTCTGCCTGCCTGGTCGAGCATGCTTTAGCATGAGCACTGCCTTTACATTATATATGTCCCGGCATACGCGACATTATGTAAAATTATCAAATTCTTTACAGAACGCAAGAAAATGAAACTGTATTCATTTCCATTTTATATCTTTGACACGTTTCACATCCATAGGGTGTGGTTTTTTGTTCAATTTTTCGTAACAAATTATGGATTTAACAGAAAATTTACCATCTGTATATGTTGGAATGGTACAAACATTGAATTGACATCAATTAGTTGACATTAGACATCAAATGATCTGTTTATATATACATGTACTAGACAACTGGATATTCCCCGAAAATAGTTGGCTGAAACTGGAAACCAGAACACCTAGACTAGCGCATGTCATAACAACCCTAACCTATAGATTTAGGATCACCATCACACAGCTCGACTATCAGAACGGAGTCGACATTTATCACTTGCAGGTACCTGGATATCACTGCAAGTGTAATATTATTAATTTATGTACAAGATGGATGCAGTCAAATTTAAAACATCATTTAAATATTCAGAATTATCTCTTGTTTATAACCTGTATCGTATTTCCTCTCATTAGTTTCATTTGAAAATATCAATGCTACTGTACATAGATTGTATTACTATAAGTTACAATACAATTTGCCAAACAAAGCTAAGTGGTGACTGAATTACCTTCATCTGTATTGTTACTTCACGAGGTGAAATCTTCTGAAATCACCTGAACTTACCTCATTATCTGCAACTTCAAACGAGATCTTGATGGTGTCCATGGCGCGGATCATCGAATGCATGGCCATGAAGATATTCTGGTAGACGATCTTGATGAAGCCGCGCTTGTCCTCCTCTGAGTAGCCGGTTCCATGGATAATTCTCATCTGTTTTATGAATGTACTCTTCCCAGACTCTCCAGTTCCTGCAAAAATTGTAAGTGATGTGACTATTAAGTTTTTGTTCAGAAGCTTTCCCATCTGTAATCGGGTCTCACGTTCTCAACAGTCTCCAAAAATTGGATTCCGGTTTTGTTTTAGCCATCTCTATATCCCCCTAGTGGTCAATACTAAGTGATGTTATGGAACTATATTAGTAAGCCTCGATTATACCTTATTGTAATAATCCTTCTCGTCCGAAAGAAAGTGATTTACCCAATAATGATTTCAAAACCTGGCCTTCCTTTAGCATATTAACAAGCATTTAAAGAGAAAACAAAAACATACCTACATTATAATTGAAAGAGTTTAAAAAGAAGATGCTGTCATGGATAATATCTGATGATTTGTAGACATGGTTTGATGACCAAGTCACTGGGTAGCATACTATACAAACGGAACTGGTACAGAGTTCTGTAAGTCATACTGCTACGTTTATTTTTTTGATGAATCATCCAAACCAAATGGTAACACAAATGTATGTTTTAATGCTTTAAAATGATGATAGATAAAGTCATAATCTGTGTAGCGATAACAGTTACCCAAATATGGACAAAACAATCAGAGACTATTTCTTCTGAAACAAGTCACTGAAGCCTAAATTGTAGGTCACAGTGTCAGGTCAGCATCCACAACATGTAATGTGTCCCTGTCACTGTTATTGTAGTCAGCATCCACAACATGTATTGTGTCCACGTCACTGTTATTGTAGTCAGCATCCACAACATGTATAGTGTCCACGTCACTGTTATTGTAGTCAGCATCCACAACATGTATTGTGTCCCTGTCACTGTTATTGTAGTCAGCATCCACAACATGTATTGTGTCCATGTCACTGTTATTGTAGTCAGCATCCACAACATGTATTGTGTCCCTGTCACTGTTATTGTAGTCAGCATCCACAACATGTATTGTGTCCCTGTCACTGTTATTGTAGTCAGCATCCACAACATGTATTGTGTCCCTGTCACTGTTATTGTAGTCAGCATCCACAACATGTATTGTGTCCCTGTCACTGTTATTGTAGTCAGCATCCACAACATGTATTGTGTCCCTGTCACTGTTATTGTAGTCAGCATCCACAACATGTATTGTGTCCCTGTCACTGTTATTGTAGTCAGCATCCACAACATGTATTGTGTCCCTGTCACTGTTATTGTAGTCAGCATCCACAACATGTATTGTGTCCCTGTCACTGTTATTGTAGTCAGCATCCACAACATGTATTGTGTCCCTGTCACTGTTATTGTAGTCAGCATCCACAACATGTATTGTGTCCCTGTCACTGTTATTGTAGTCAGCATCCACAACATGTATTGTGTCCCTGTCACTGTTATTGTAGTCAGCATCCACAACATGTATTGTGTCCCTGTCACTGTTATTGTAGTCAGCATCCACAACATGTATTGTGTCCCTGTCACTGTTATTGTAGTCAGCATCCACAACATGTATTGTGTCCCTGTCACTGTTATTGTAGTCAGCATCCACAACATGTATTGTGTCCCTGTCACTGTTATTGTAGTCAGCATCCACAACATGTATTGTGTCCCTGTCACTGTTATTGTAGTCAGCATCCACAACATGTATTGTGTCCCTGTCACTGTTATTGTAGTCAGCATCCACAACATGTATTGTGTCCCTGTCACTGTTATTGTAGTCAGCATCCACAACATGTATTGTGTCCCTGTCACTGTTATTGTAGTCAGCATCCACAACATGTATTGTGTCCCTGTCACTGTTATTGTAGTCAGCATCCACAACATGTATTGTGTCCCTGTCACTGTTATTGTAGTCAGCATCCACAACATGTATTGTGTCCCTGTCACTGTTATTGTAGTCAGCATCCACAACATGTATTGTGTCCCTGTCACTGTTATTGTAGTCAGCATCCACAACATGTATTGTGTCCCTGTCACTGTTATTGTAGTCAGCATCCACAACATGTATTGTGTCCCTGTCACTGTTATTGTAGTCAGCATCCACAACATGTATTGTGTCCCTGTCACTGTTATTGTAGTCAGCATCCACAACATGTATTGTGTCCCTGTCACTGTTATTGTAGTCAGCATCCACAACATGTATTGTGTCCCTGTCACTGTTATTGTAGTCAGCATCCACAACATGTATTGTGTCCCTGTCACTGTTATTGTAGTCAGCATCCACAACATGTATTGTGTCCCTGTCACTGTTATTGTAGTCAGCATCCACAACATGTATTGTGTCCCTGTCACTGTTATTGTAGTCAGCATCCACAACATGTATTGTGTCCCTGTCACTGTTATTGTAGTCAGCATCCACAACATGTATTGTGTCCCTGTCACTGTTATTGTAGTCAGCATCCACAACATGTATTGTGTCCCTGTCACTGTTATTGTAGTCAGCATCCACAACATGTATTGTGTCCCTGTCACTGTTATTGTAGTCAGCATCCACAACATGTATTGTGTCCCTGTCACTGTTATTGTAGTCAGCATCCACAACATGTATTGTGTCCCTGTCACTGTTATTGTAGTCAGCATCCACAACATGTATTGTGTCCCTGTCACTGTTATTGTAGTCAGCATCCACAACATGTATTGTGTCCCTGTCACTGTTATTGTAGTCAGCATCCACAACATGTATTGTGTCCCTGTCACTGTTATTGTAGTCAGCATCCACAACATGTATTGTGTCCCTGTCACTGTTATTGTAGTCAGCATCCACAACATGTATTGTGTCCCTGTCACTGTTATTGTAGTCAGCATCCACAACATGTATTGTGTCCCTGTCACTGTTATTGTAGTCAGCATCCACAACATGTATTGTGTCCCTGTCACTGTTATTGTAGTCAGCATCCACAACATGTATTGTGTCCCTGTCACTGTTATTGTAGTCAGCATCCACAACATGTATTGTGTCCCTGTCACTGTTACTGTAGACAGCATCCACAACATGTATTGTGTCCCCGTCACTGTTATTGTAGTCAGCATCCACAACATGTATTGTGTCCCTGTCACTGTTATTGTAGACAGCATCCACAACATGTATTGTGTCCCCGTCACTGTTATTGTAGTCAGCATCCACAACATGTATCTAATTCTATTGAAAATATGAATTTCCTGAGATGAAGATCCTGAAGTAAAATGTTAAAAATCTCAACTGAAATTCAAAAACATGAACTGTTTATCAAGTATAATATATCATATATTGGTATATCCAAAATCATTACCGGTATCTAATATATTTTATATTGGTTTCTCCAAAATCATTCAGTTGTACAATATGGGGACAATAAGACAATAACTGCATTTGAACATCACCTAAGATTGATGAAATCTTGCACTACGGCAGGGTGCCTAACCTATCAACTGGGTCAGTGAAATACTGCCACCCCTTTACTGTACACATATTGGGCTGTTATACGTACTATTGTGATTTCCCCATCAATAGCATGATGCTATAGCTGTGCCTTACCCTATTTTGAGATTGCCAATAGATGTCATGCCCCAATTGCAATGCCATAGACAGTCAACAACACCCTGCTCTTTCCATTCTATACTTATAAATAGCCCAGTGACACACAAGACTTACTAAGTACCGTAGGTCAATTATCTTGTTCATTGAACCATATACAGAAAACCTGTGTCAGCGATACCTTGATATGCTGGACTGGTTTTCACAATAGTATGAGAAGCCCTGACACAGGGTCTGGAAAATTGTAAATAAATCAACAAATTTGCAACACATGTTATTCTCTGAGCATGTAGTGATGTACCTATATTATCTTGCCCTTTTTCATACAAACATGTCATTGAAAATTGCACTTCTATCAAGTCTTAAAGTGACAAGGTTTCAACTAGATTTTTTTTTTTTTTTTTTTATAAATTTTGGTAATGCTATTTTGTTTATCTTTTGATTTACACATGTATACATGTTGTAGTGGCTGAAGTTTCTAGGATTAGAGGGGGAATGAGTTTAGTAGGGCTTTTCTACATTTTCAAGTTATCTGAAGAGACGGCATTATCTTTAACATTTTTTTAAATCATCCGTGTCTTTAGAAGTTGGCCAAGTAAAAAGACATATTCTAATTAATGGAGAAGTGAAGGATGTTATGTCATAACGCACAAAAAAAATGTAGCATTAACCGACAAAGACACCAGTGAAGGGTTACTCAACATGTCATCACGCTCCTAAACCTGGACACCACACCAAGTTACACTAACCACTCCACCCAGTCACAGTATACTGACCATGGACTGACCACTCGACCCAGTCACAGTATACTGACCACTCCACAGTCACAGTATACTGACCATGGACTGACCACTCCATCCAGTCACAGTATACTGACCATGGACAGGCCACTCCACCCAGTCACAGTATACTGACCACTCCACCCAGTCACAGTATACTGACCATCGACTGACCACACCACCCAGTCACAGTATACTGAACATGGACTGACCATTCCACCCAGTCACAGTATACTGACCACTCCACCCAGTCACAGTATACTGACCACTCCACCCAGTCACAGTATACTGACTATAGACTGACCACACCACTCCAGTCACATTATACTGACCATGGACTGACTACTCAACCCAATCACAGTATACTGACCATCGACTGACCACACCACCCCAGTCACATTATACTGACCATGGACTGACTACTCCACCCAGTCACAGTATACTGACCATCGACTGACCACATTACACCACCCAGTCACATATTAATGACCATGGACCGACCACTCCACCAACAGTAGTCACATTATACTGACCATGGACTGGCCACTCCACCTAGTCACATTATACTGACCATGGACTGACCACTCCACCCTGTCACATTATACTGACCATGGACTGGCCACTCCACCTACAGTAGTCACATTAGTATCCAGGGCTCAGGCTAAACTTTTTAAACCACTAGGCACTGTGCCTAGTGTCATGAAAAATCCACTCGGCACTCCTGAAATTTTACTGTACACCTGAGATTATGAAAAATTTCAATAAATATTTACTGATCTGTTGTCCTGTTAAGATGATGTTGTTCAATGTCCATTAATGTTTTTTTCGTAAATACAATTACTACACATCATAACTAGCAACATATGATTGATTTCCATTCATCAAATATATCGTGTCAACACTGTACCTTTTGTGAAAAAGGGGTGAAGTTTCACTTCCATCTTTCATTTCGATTAGTTACGGAACATTACGTAGTCTAGTTCCCTGCTGCGATTGCTGCAGTCGGGCCCCGCAGTACATCGTTCAGGACGCTTTGATTCAAGCGCTCAGGTGATTTTTACGACAAGCATGAAAACGGCATGTTTTACGTTGTTTACTTCCGATGCTGTGACGAAAGTTACTTGGTAAAAAGTGTTCCATTGATTATTCATCACAATATTTAGGCGACAGATCTAGTGTATGTTTTAGTAATATTGACTCGGCACAGGGACGAGCGTGGTTGTAAATTCCACTGGTCCTTTTCAATTTTCACCCGGTCAGGACGAGTGGCCGGGTGGTTAGCCGGAGCCCTGTATACTGACCATGGACTGGCCACTCCACCTACAGTTATCACATTATACTGACCATGGACTGGCCACTCCGCCTACAGTAGTCACATTATACTGACCATGGACTGACCACTCCATCCAGTCACATTATACTGACAATGGACTGACCACACCACCTACAGTAGTCACATTATACTGACCATGGACTGACCACACCACCTAGTCACATTATACTGACCATGGACTGACCACTGCATCCAGTCACATTATATTGACCACTCCACCTACAGTAGTCACATTATACTGACCATCGACTGACCACTCCACCCAGTCACATTATACTGACCAAGGACTGACCACTCCACCCATATGTCAAAAGCAAGGTGCAGTAATTAGTACCAGTTTAAGGACTTTTGTTTGTTCTGGTCAGGGGACAAAACCCATCATCTTCCTTGGGTAGATGCTCAAACATGAAGGTCAAAAGCTAGGTAGTGACAAGATAGACATCAGGAAGCAAAAGTTATATGAAACAGGAGGGAACAAATTATCTTGAAATGTTTGTTGGGTGCAGTAGATTGATTTTTGTCGCTCTAATGTCTTCAAGTGCGCAAAAGAAAATCTATGCAGGGAGGTCCTGTAATGCGAAATTAGTTACCGCTTGTAATATGTGCTTGGCTATGGGTAACAGTTGCTTTTTCTTTCAATCTCCAACCTGTTGAGACTAGTTGCACCTCCACTAAATCAATTTCATCCCACATTTGAATTCCTAAATATAACATGAAGGTCTCTTCTCTGTTCCTCTTTCCATCTGTTTTCCTCTGTCTGTTTGTTTTATGCAGAGGCAGTGTTCTCGGTAAAAGCTGATTGTCAGCAAATGTAGCCTACTATAAATTTATCAACTTGGAACCGGCTATTTTTTTCCAGAATGGGTCAACATTAATTCAGTTGGCTATTCTTTCAAAATCAATCATCTGTTTCAAAATTTACTTAAAAACACTGGTCTTTCTGGAGCATATATATGCTTGTTGGCAGCCTTTCCAGTAATTCATCGAGTGTTGCGACATCTCAGATTACTGTTCACTCTTTGTACACATATAATGTCCCAATGATTCATCTTTTTTTTTTACTCCACACTTTCTCTATCATATATAATAACATCAATACGAATGTTTACTGTTTTTCAGAAATTTCTTTTTAACAAAATTTTATGAAAATTCTAAAAATACAAAATGTCAAAAGTCAACTGAAATCCCTGCTTTTATCAACTTGTGTAAAGTTGACAAATTTTGTCTGTTAGGTGTATTGAGTACAACCCCTTTATTCAAAAGCATTCAGTACATTTGACAAGCACAAATACCTCATTTGACATAAATACAATTTTGGTGCTGGGGACTGGAAAATTACAAATAGGGACACCTTACACCAGTTTTGCCTCAACTCCTATATTGCTATTTTGACTCCTCACACTCCAAAGTTGAAATTCACATTCATGAAACGGTGTTAACATCATGCTGCGAGATCGCTTTGGTCATTTGATTATGGTACACAACAGCTTTATTTTAGTTTTATCGTCTGCACTCATTACAACGAAGTATTATGATAGCAGATGCTGTCCTTATAAACTAGAAACAGGACAAATTTCAGATTTTACAATAAGCATTTTTTATGTTTAGCTGCTGCGACACCCACTACATCATCATGGATTTGAATTATTAAAGTAATTCAAAACTTTTGGGATTTTTTTTGACAATGTACGACTTTTTCTGGATTGCTTCCCAGAAGAGATGGAGCGTAACATGACAGTTTATCAGCATAAAAACTTTATAATGAGTTATCTTTTTATTTTACACCTATTTATTTTGTTGAAGCAGTAAACTGATGTAACACATAATTTGCTGGCAAGACACTTATGGACATGCATATGTTGTAAAAGACCTTACGATTTCAAAAAATTAAAACTAACGATGCCTCTGAACTGTTATTTTAATCTCAGAGAAAGGTTTTTCATGGCTGATTTGTTCCTTTTGGACTACAAAGTAAAATGCGCAAAAATGTTGTCTTTGATTGTAATCTGGACGAAAATAAATGTTGGGGGTGTCACAAAACGCCAAGAGTGTAAAATCATATATTGCAATACAGAATGAATATATAGCGATACGTATCCAGATATATTGTCATAGGAAGGATGTGCTCAATTTTATAATAAGTTGTAGTCGGTATGTTATCAAACTTAATCATATATGTAATATGGATTACATAGATTTAAGATTTTTGTCAAACCAATTTGAACTATGAAAACTTGCTTGATGCCTATTGGCATATCTCGTTAGAATTTGTAGTAATTTGCAAAGTTAAAACACCAAGCAGATACATGAAAATATACTTTTGAAAAATATTGCGATACACCTGTTTTCCGATATATTGTGACAGCCCTTATAAGTGTTCTGAATAATTGTTCATCAATTGAAATTTGAAAGTTAATTTTAAGATGGTCTCTTCCTTTGATGTTGAAAATCAATCATCAGTACTAAATTATGAGGCACTGGAAATCATCAAATTATAAGCCTGCTTGCCTCAGCAGCTTTAATTATGATGCTGTATCAGACAAACTCAGTCATGACAGAATCAGCTTTTCTCACTAATCTGCTTAGGTTGTCAAGTAAACTGTAAACCTACGAAATAGGGTCATAGACGATGCCACCTATAGCATGATGCATCCTTGTATACATGAGACTGGCCCCATACACAGACATCCAATACACACAAAATATACATTGCAAATGTCAACATTTTTCTATAAAAAAAATCAATTTCTTCTCTTTTGAATTTCATTTAAACATTAAATAAAAATGGAGACCTTTATGACGACGGAAGATTTGAAATATCGAAGTTTTGAATGACTGGCTAAAAAATCAACATATATCACGAAAAACAGTTTCTTCAATGAAAACAGCTCGAGCTAATGAATTCACCCGAATGTTTCATTTCAAGATGGCGGCCCACATCAGCTATCATGCAATAAACAGCAACTGTCGGCGTGCATTTACGGTCTCATGTCTGCATTGAGTGCCCCAGACTACCAGTATGGGTAAAACTGACAGAAAATCTCAGTTAAATGCCGATATTTCTCTTTACAGATGTATCAAACCCTTAGAACGACACTAAGTTATTCAAGATGGCTGCCGGTGGACCATCGATTGCAGAGCAGTCATGGGTTGTTTATATCTGTGTTCCTGGCCGCAAAATACCGACAAATCGACACGTTTATATACGTACCTAAAAGCAGAAGTTTCAACTCCCGTCTGGCATCTCTCTTTGCCTTCCTCAGTTCCTTTTCTATTTCGCAATTTATCCGTTTTTGCTCCTTCGCCTCTTCACTCAAACAACACGCCATGACGAGAGTGAATATCGGCGAGTCTTTCTCTGCTATCCGTTCTCCTCTGGACTTTTAGTCCAACCGACAATTAATTAGTCGGCTATGTCCTTAAACCAACACATGTGAAATTGTAAAACCGATTCTTGTGAGCAGAACCTTTTCCTGGTACCGGTAGGCCTAGCCAGTCCACAAGATTTCTCCAGTCTCGTTCCGGTATTTCTATTTTCCTTGGGTGTGGTGAAAGGCCCTGTAGAACTGTAGCGATTTCTACACACTTTCGCGCACCTGTTAAATACTCACATCCGGTTAATCGAATTTGCGAATATTAGAATTAACACATAAAATTAATAAAGACTTATTTTCATAAGACAAATTAACCTTACGTACTACAATTGACAAACACAGCGAGAATAGGTGCCGATGCGCTCATCTGCACAATTGACGGAACAGCCGAAATGTTGAACAGCCAACAGTCGCGATTGCCTGGAGTATTATGGGATGGCTAACTAGTTGCATATGAAATGAGCCGGCATTTCATTCACATAGCGCCGATTCACAACAGGGGATACAAACACTCAGTAGCACGGAACTCTACACAACGAGTTGTCGGTAGACATAATGATTTATACATTAATTAGATAACGGTTACGGTACTCTTATATGTATAACGAAAGTTTGAACGAATTAAATAACTTGGTATTAACACATTAAGGCTATCGAGCACCTGCCAATTAATAAAGGCCTAATTTGTTAAAATATTGAAATATAGCAAAACTTACAATAAAGCGAATGAAAGTTATTCCTTCCAATTTGGATATAAAATAACTGAAAACATCCTGCTATGTCGTGCACTACTCATTAAGGTTGTCACTAATGGTGACAGGTCAAATACATGTTAAATATGACATAATGGTAGAACTAGTACGATGTCTGATTGAGAACATCCAAAATATTTATCATCATCATCATCATCATCATCATCACCACCATCATCTTCTTCAGCGACATGGTGCACTGTATGTCTCGAACCGCCATTCAATATTTGAATACATATTTTAAAAGAAGTGAGACATTTAAAGTGGCTCACTTTGTGACAGCTATTATCTATGTTACATTAAAAAAAGTGGTATCCGACAATGCAAGTTCAGTGGTGTCTTTCTGAAAGGTTCTCGTGATTCCACTGAAGAGGCAATCGTGTTGTGGGAATGTGGATGATGGTCCATAGAAGAAAGGAGTTCTGGATTTGCCTCAAGCTGCCGCCAGCGGCTCCTCGGGTCCTTGCATCTGCCTGTCTGATCTTATGGCCAAAATGTTGTTGATGATCTTGTATAACAACGTCGCCCTGGCACTAGCTCTCCTTACTCCTAGGGGCTCCCATCTCAGATGACACAGTATGGCCGTCATGCTACCTTCATCTCTGGAGTAGGTCTATGTAGCAAATCTTGCAGCCTGCTTTTGGACTCTCTCCATCATCTCGACATGTTGGACTTGATAGGGGTCTCATACTGCTCCAGCGTATTCCATTATGGGATGGACTAAAGTGGTGTACGCTCTTGCCCTAACTTCCCATGGGCAGGCTCGGAGGTTCCTTCGGAGAAAGCCTACTGACCTAGCTGCCTTCGATGATGTAGCACTGATGGGATCATTCCAGGAGAGGTCGTTGCTGGTGGTGACACCAAGGTATTGACTGTTCTCTACCTCTGCAAGTTGGGTTCTGTTCAGGTGGTAGTTTGTTCTCTGGATGTTTCCTCTACGAGTTAACTGCATGATGACGCACTTGTCCGGCTAAAAGGCCATCTGCCAATCGTATGTCCACTTGAGGAGGGCGTTGAGATCGTCATGTAGCTTGACGCTGTCTCTGGCAGAATGCATTTGTCGATAGATGATGCAGTCTTCTGCAAATAACCGGATGTTGGATTTCACTAACTCCGGCAGGTTATTTATATACAGCAGGAACAACAGGGGGCCGATCACAGTGCCCTGGGGTACTCCTGATAGAACGTCTGGTTCTGATGATCTGCTCCCCTCAACGATAACTCGTAGTTTCCTGCTGTATGTTCCCGCGGATCCCATAGTGGTTGAGCTTGTGGAGGAGGCGTTGGTGTGGGACCTTGTCGAAGGCCTTGGGGAAGTCCAGAAGAACGATGTCTATCTGCTTCCCACTGTCAATGCCATCGGTAAGGTCGTCGGAGGTCTTTACCAATTGGATCTCGCATGACCGCCTTCTCCGGAATCCGTGCTAGGTAACAGACAGAATCTGCTCTTCATCCTAGTGTTCCATGACGGAGCTATGCAGGACGTATTCGATTCACTTTGACTATATCGCAGTCAATGACACTGGTCTGTAGTAAGCAGCAATGGACCGATCGCCCTTCTTGAAAACAGAAACGACATGGGCTAGTTTCCATACATCCGGCACAGCGGCTGAGTCGAGTGATGACAGGAATAGCATCCTTAGGACAGTTGTTATTTCCTCCTGCTGCTCCGTGCGTAGCCTTGCTGGTATGGAGTCCTGTCCTGAAGCCTTGTGAGGCTTAAGTCCTCCCAGCAGCTTCAATACTCCCAGCTCTGTTAGCACGATGTTTCGCATGTCCAGGTGTTGATGGTGACCCACGGATGCCATAGTGGTCATGTCTTCATTGCCTAGCATCGCTGTACAGCAGGCCATCGCTCTTCTTCAAGGGAGCAATTCCAGAAGACTCCCGTCTTTTACTCTTGATAAGGACCATAATCGTGTTGGATTCTGCTTACAGTCTGAACTGATGATATTGTTGACATCCTGTTCGTGGGAAGATCTTATATTTCTCCTTGCATCAGTTTTAAGGTATCTTACTAAGTCAGAATGGAGAAGATAAACAGAAGATTTCAAACGGACAATGCTGTATACATTACAAGATTTAACGACTTAGTGTCTCGTTATAACGACTAAATATCTCTTGATGACGATTTTATTATCCATTAATTAAGATTAAGTATCTCGTTTTAACGAGTTAGTATCATGTGAGGTGTCTACACTCGTTGTGACTGATTCAGTCTGTGTTAGGTGTCTATACACACTGTGACTGATTCAGTCTGTGTTGGGTGTATATACACACTGTGGCTGATTCAGTCTGTCTTATGTGTCTATTTACACTGTTACTGATTCAGTCTGTGTTAGGTGTCTATACACACTGTGACTGATTCAATCTGTGTGTGGTGTCTTCACACACTGTGACTGATTCAGTCTGTGTTGGGTGTCTATTTACACTGTTACTGATTCAGTCTGTGTGGGGTGTCTATTTACACTGTGGCTGATTCAGTCTGTGTTGGGTGTCTATTTACACTGTGGCTGATTCAGTCTGTGTGGGGTGTCTACTTACACTGTGGCTGATTCAGTCTGTGTGGGGTGTCTATTTACACTGTGACTGATTCAGTCTGTGTGGGGTGTCTACTTACACTGTGGCTGATTCAGTCTGTGTGGGGTGTCTATTTACACTGTGACTGATTCAGTCTGTGTGGGGTGTCTACTTACACTGTGGCTGATTCAGTCTGTGTGGGGTGTCTATTTACACTGTGACTGATTCAGTCTGTGTGGGGTGTCTACTTACACTGTGGCTGATTCAGTCTGTGTGGGGTGTCTATTTACACTGTGACTGATTCAGTCTGTGTGGGGTGTCTATTTACACTGTGACTGATTCAGTCTGTGTGGGGTGTCTATTTACACTGTGACTGATTCAGTCTGTGTGGGGTGTCTATTTACACTGTGACTGATTCAGTCTGTGTGGGGTGTCTATTTACACTGTGACTGATTCAGTCTGTGTGGGGTGTCTATTTACACTGTGACTGATTCAGTCTGTGTGGGGTGTCTATTTACACTGTGACTGATTCAGTCTGTGTGGGGTGTCTATTTACACTGTGACTGATTCAGTCTGTGTGGGGTGTCTATTTACACTGTGACTGATTCAGTCTGTGTGGGGTGTCTATTTACACTGTGACTGATTCAGTCTGTGTGGGGTGTCTATTTACACTGTGACTGATTCAGTCTGTGTGGGGTGTCTATTTACACTGTGACTGATTCAGTCTGTGTGGGGTGTCTATTTACACTGTGACTGATTCAGTCTGTGTGGGGTGTCTATTTACACTGTGACTGATTCAGTCTGTGTGGGGTGTCTATTTACACTGTGACTGATTCAGTCTGTGTGGGGTGTCTATTTACACTGTGACTGATTCAGTCTGTGTGGGGTGTCTATTTACACTGTGACTGATTCAGTCTGTGTGGGGTGTCTATTTACACTGTGACTGATTCAGTCTGTGTGGGGTGTCTATTTACACTGTGACTGATTCAGTCTGTGTGGGGTGTCTATTTACACTGTGACTGATTCAGTCTGTGTGGGGTGTCTATTTACACTGTGACTGATTCAGTCTGTGTGGGGTGTCTATTTACACTGTGACTGATTCAGTCTGTGTGGGGTGTCTATTTACACTGTGACTGATTCAGTCTGTGTGGGGTGTCTATTTACACTGTGGCTGATTCAGTCTGTGTGGGGTGTCTATTTACACTGTGACTGATTCAGTCTGTGTGGGGTGTCTATTTACACTGTGACTGATTCAGTCTGTGTGGGGTGTCTATTTACACTGTGACTGATTCAGTCTGTGTGGGGTGTCTATTTACACTGTGACTGATTCAGTCTGTGTGGGGTGTCTATTTACACTGTGACTGATTCAGTCTGTGTGGGGTGTCTATTTACACTGTGACTGATTCAGTCTGTGTGGGGTGTCTATTTACACTGTGACTGATTCAGTCTGTGTGGGGTGTCTATTTACACTGTGACTGATTCAGTCTGTGTGGGGTGTCTATTTACACTGTGACTGATTCAGTCTGTGTGGGGTGTCTATTTACACTGTGACTGATTCAGTCTGTGTGGGGTGTCTATTTACACTGTGACTGATTCAGTCTGTGTGGGGTGTCTATTTACACTGTGACTGATTCAGTCTGTGTGGGGTGTCTATTTACACTGTGACTGATTCAGTCTGTGTGGGGTGTCTATTTACACTGTGACTGATTCAGTCTGTGTGGGGTGTCTATTTACACTGTGACTGATTCAGTCTGTGTGGGGTGTCTATTTACACTGTGACTGATTCAGTCTGTGTGGGGTGTCTATTTACACTGTGACTGATTCAGTCTGTGTGGGGTGTCTATTTACACTGTGGCTGATTCAGTCTGTGTGGGGTGTCTATTTACACTGTGACTGATTCAGTCTGTGTGGGGTGTCTATTTACACTGTGACTGATTCAGTCTGTGTGGGGTGTCTATTTACACTGTGACTGATTCAGTCTGTGTGGGGTGTCTATTTACACTGTGACTGATTCAGTCTGTGTGGGGTGTCTATTTACACTGTGACTGATTCAGTCTGTGTGGGGTGTCTATTTACACTGTGACTGATTCAGTCTGTGTGGGGTGTCTATTTACACTGTGAC